TGAAAGGGGACTTAGCTTCCGATATCATGAAACGAAGGAGGAATCACCTCTGCTTTCACAATTTGTCAACTTTCGTATCCTACCTATTCTACTTTACTGCTCCCCATTAGTCTTTCCTGCGTTACTGAAAAAGGACTATACCATACTGAGAAGGATGTTGAAGGTAGTTAGTAGGACTAGTGGTGTAAAACTCAGTCAGCTCGTCACTACATTAGTAGATGAGCATCTGAATATATGCGAAAAATGGTCTAAAACCATACTCTCTGACCCCCAACACCCCCTCTATCCCCAACTCTCTCTTTGTATCTCATCAGGTAGAACTAGAAATCAGTACAAAATAATATATGCTCGTACAACCAAGTATAAGAACTCAACGATACCATATCTGGCCCGTGTTCTAAGTGACAGAGACAATGTTAGGCGTGAAACCTATGACTTGCTTTGTTGTTAATAACATAATTTTGGCCCTTGTTTTTTTCCCCCTTACACTCTCTTATTTGTACTCTATAGTGAACAACCTTCTTAAACATACTTAGCTACCTAAAATTATTATCATCGGCTTACTTTTTTATTCATTATTCTATTCCTTCTTTTGTGTATCTACTGGTTCCGACTATATTAGCACTATGAGTATTACAAAATTGTCCTGTCATTGACCATCATGTAATATCAGTTTTGTGATTGTTTTTTTGTTCGGCAATATTAAAACTGACAATCTTGGTTGTGAACGCCGTTATCAACATCCTAAAATTTTTGTATTATGCGTGATTACTCACACTACCACAACAAACACCTCATTAGAGCTGACAGTAAAAAACAACCTGAAATGTTTATTTTATGGTTGTTTTTATTGTTGTACAATCAAATTAACTGATCATCTTGGCTATAAACATTCTTAAGAACATCTCATAACTTCTTGTATGATTATAGCTGTTACTGCTCACCACGCATACACATATCATAGCTTCCACCACCAAATACTAAAATATTTTTTATTATTGGTGTTTATCTTCCTTTGTACTTGGTATTTTTATTTGCATTTGTTTTTGTGTTTCCTTTTGGTTTTTGTTGTTGTTTTTTATATATTTTTTGTAATACCCCTTTTAAATGTGAGACGAAATTAGATGCAATAATGTAGATATGTGCTGAAAATTCCAGACTGTACCTCTAGGATTGTTTCTGGAATAAAAGCAAAATCATTATATTATTATATCACAGTCCCTGAAAAGAACACTCCCTGGTGTATCTCTGAGAATAGCCTTTACTAGTCGACCATTACTGTCCAATAACCTGAAGGACAAGATCCCGCTGTTGACCAACTCTATGTGTGTTTATATCAATTCACCTGCTCTTGTGGAGCTAGGTATATCGGTCGTTCGACTCGACTTTTGTCCAAGAGACTGCAAGAACACTATCCTGGACGGTAGTTTCGAAGAGGTGGAAGTGGAGCAATAAGAAGCGCTATCATTCAACATCTAGTCGATAATGATCACCCTATCTCTATAGCCTTCGCCTTTAAAATCATCTACAAGGCAAAGAGTGATCTACCCAAATCCCTACCTACCCGACTCATCTGCATTGCTGAAGCATTGACTATCGAAACAGAAAAGCCAGATCTGTGTGTACAGAAAAAGCTCGTCCAAGCCCTTCATGGTCTCAATCCCTCTATGCTGAAGTATGGTAATCCCCATTCATATTTTATCTCTACCAGTTTTTCATATTTCATGTTTTCATTTCATCTATTTGAGTTATATTCTCTTCTTTTATTACGTCACTTGTTACTATTACTATTCTCATTTTGAATTGTCCCCGGTATTATTTCACTTGTTCCACTTGTCATTCTAAATCAATTCTGTTTTGTAACGTCAACTTCTATTCCATCAAATTTCACACAGTATTACGTAACGCTTTTATTTTATTCGATTCGTCTACTAATCCTATAATTGCACACCCTTTTTCAAGTTCTATCCATCCTATGAATTATTCTATATATGATATTAATTTGTTTTGCCACTTGACATTTAACTATGATTATAATCACAAACATTTTAGTTTTTTAATTGCATTTCCTACTATTATTATTATTTTATGCATTCACACCTATGATTCAATTCCCTCACCGGATATACCTTCTTAAAAACCATATGTGTACATACAACTGTACAGCTTGATGATAAATTCGTTGAAAAGAGTCTCTTCGCTGAATCAACACTTGTTTTGCTTTTCTATATTCTCTTCCCCTCACTTACACTTCTGTTTATTATCTGTCTTTTGAACCTGACTTTACTCTTCTCTTGTTTTGTGTAGTACATGGGGGAGGTGTGGCAGCAACCAAAACTGCTACACTTCTGTGCAAAGTGCCGCACTGAAACCATTCAGCTTGTTAAGCTTCAAATTAGTAAACATTTTACTCAGTGATAAGAAACTCTACTGAATGCGGGAATCGAATTTTAAACTCAAGTCTTCATGAATCTCTTGGACAATCTGGTTTCATATGTGTACATTCTACAAACACATTGATGAATTTAAAACAAGTAATAAAGGTTAATTACTGTTAAGTCTGTATGGAAGTCAAGAGCACTCAGCATCAAAAATAACAACCGGATTTTCAACTCCAATGTGAAGTCAGTGCCTACTTACTATACGGATCAGAGACTTGGCGCGTCATAAGGAGCATCTCAAACAAACTTCAGACCTTCATTAACAGTTGTCTTTGCTCAATACCGCACAAGATCAGATGGCCGGTCAGAAAAGATCAGCGACAGGGATCTCTGGGAATGAGCGAACCAACCCAGCAGGAACTGATTGTGCAACAAATATATAGGAAGAAATGGAGACGGATTGGCTGACCATATTCTGAGGAAACCTTTTAGAGACATCACTAGACAAGCCATTGCTCGAGTGGAACCCGAAAGGGAAGCGGCGAGTTGGTCGTCACTGCATGGGTGACTTGGTGGAGGTCGTGTGAAGAGGAAATGAAAACATGTGGGCAGATTTGGAGCGGGATGAGAAAGTTGGCAGGAAACCGAACGCAATGGAGACGCGCAGCTGAAGCCCTATGTTCCTCTAGGAGTTAAAGGATATAATAATAATAAAGCAGGATTTAATGAATTCATCAAATTTCGGTAGAACTCGTCAACTGAATACTACTCTACATACACAAATATATATATATACTTTTGAAATTACATTGGGAGATATAAGACTGATAAGTAAACAAACTACATTGAATTAATCATGCAGAAAGACAGGTGCGAATGTTTTCGAGGTCATGTTTAAATAGATAAGGGGAGAGAGAGTATGAGAGATCAAAATTAAGATAAATTGCATTACGCTTCAATTACACCACTTAGATAAAGAATTAGTCATTAGAGAATATAACAAGAATTACAAACAGAGTAATATCAATAGTAATGGTTATAATAACAATCATATTAGTTTAAAACAATTAGCTCCCTTTATGAATTTAGATAAAGCAATAAGAAGACGTAATTTGTCTGAGTAGTGTAATGTATTTGCGCAACACATTTCGAACAATCTGATCACACACGGACTTGTCATAGGAATGGATATATATGAAATTAATAAAGAGAATATGTCCTCTTAACTTGACCTTAGTCTATTTTCTCACCTCTTACCTCTTTATTAATTTCATATATATTCCTATGACAAGTCCGTGTGTGATCAGATTGTTCGAAATGTGTTGTGGGTGCAAATACATTGCACGATTCAGACAAATTACGTCTTCTTATTGCTCTATCTAAATAATAATAGTGTTGAAGTGAGTTAAGATAATCTTACTGATAAAGGATAGTTTTAAATGAATCACGAATAATAATAATAATAAGAGGTAGAATAATAAGTAAAACGTATTAGCATGGTAGATTCAGAGTCACGACCATCTCCTTTTGTACGCAGAGACCTGGTTTATAAACTCGAATCGCACAAGCCTCTGCAAATGCATGCACCTTCTTGTTTCTTTGTCTGCTGACAATAGCGAATGTCTTGACAGCGTCGATATCATGTCCGTAATCCACAAGATATTTTGTTACTGAGGATTTTGGCACTTTGCACTCAGCTGTTTTCAACCATTTCGGCGAATGCTCCATCATGCAAGTGGACAATCACCTTTCTGTATGACCTATGTATTTGCTTCCACAAACACACTCATTGATGAATGAATAATAGAGTGCTGGCCTATCATGCAGCATAGCAAAGTTCGATTACAAGTCTACACACTCCTGAATCTCACTTTCTCGGCAGTCAGTTTGGAAAACAGGGAGGCTTGTTGAGCTTGAGGCCAGTAACCCTACTGCAAAAACCACTGTTGCTTGCTACTGACACTTTGTACAACTAAGAACGAAAAACACAATATCCAGTTAACTTAATAAAAATCACAATTATTGAAACGCATTAGGTTTTACTTCATATGCCAAATAGCAGTTGTAGCAACTCAGATCTAGGCATAGTGACTCTTATTTTGACCTCGGTTATATTTATTTATAACTTTAAATGTCATACTTCCATGCAACAGCCAAATGAAGGGTCATGCAAACGTAGAATAAAAAAAGGACAAGAATCAAAACATTTTGTATTCAAAAGAAATTAGGCACAGAAAAATGGTCAACCCGTCTAATAACAAACTGTGAAAAGGCCATCACACACGATTAACAGTACAATAAAAACACAAAACATGTCAATCACAGGGTAGAAATACAAATACAGTTTTCACAGAATAAGATATTCTAAGGGAATAAATTTTTTCTACATACTGAATGCTTGGTCATTTGTGTAAGTGGCATACGCAACAGCTGTTGTGTCTTCTTTATCACCCATTTTTCTCAGGTAGTTTAATTTTAGTCGAATCCAAAGATTTTTTATAACATTATGCTTAGCTATACAAAGAATGATTGTAGATAATACGATTGTCAACAATACGCCTAGAAAAATACCAGATGTTATGTATCTATATGTGTGTGAAACAGTTGTAGACAGAAATTTTATCCTTTTCTCACATCGCTCTCCTGCCCATTCTCTTGGGCATACACATCCAAGGCATTCTGTTTCATGTATGGGCTCTCGCACTCTACACGATGTGCAGCTACCATCATTGAAGCAATATAACTTGCAAAATTTACTATCCATTCGTGTATTGTCTGTAGATGTAAGTTTTTACTAAAAATGGAAGACAAAAAATGACTTTTTATGAGGGAGAATAAAATTCATGCTATTATATAAAAACCATCTGCTTTACCTTACAATAAATAACTGTAATGCCTATAGAATTTTTAAGACAACAATTTACAATAGACCGCATAATTTTGCATTTGAGGATTTCTTAAAATCTGGTCGGTGAATTTTCCACTCTTTTTTCTTTAAGTAAATTGGAATCACGTTTGAGTTTCTTTAGCAAGTGGACTGATTTTACCGGGGTAGGATTGCTAGCCCCACACCCAACATTCTCGCTCTCTCCAGCGTTGAGACCGACTAGTAAAATAGCAAACTACGCGAGAAGGACATGAAAGTACAATGAGCGTTTGATAAGCCAGTCAAGAAAAATGCTAACGAAAACAGGGAAATGAATATTTACCCATAAGTTGTCTTAAATGAAGAAATAAGAGGCTGACAGATGCATAACTCTGATCTCAGAAAGAATGGTCTCCTGATCCTTGATATGATGTGAGTTTACAAAAAAAAACTAGGGTGAAAAATTACTGAATGCGGCGTTTGTATATATTCGCACCTAAATTTTAGATAATTTTCATAGTCTTCCCAGTGGTATAATTCGTAAACTGATCAAACGTACAGTATGTTGTATTTGCAGTGTGTTACCGCTTCTCACAGTTTTGTTCATCTCATAGCCTCAATATTTCAGCAAATAAGTGAATTTTGTAATTTTATAAAGAAATTTTTCATGATTCTAAGTGTTATGACGCGGGGTAATATATGTTATTGGAATTATAGTTCGTACAGAAATTTGTACAAATTAAGATATCCAGTAACAAATAAGTTTCGAATTTTTTTTCGGAGAATCGAAATGACTACCAAAATTTCTATAAATTAGGTATTCGAAGCGGGTGACTATGTAACAGATGAAAATAATGATATGAAATCATGCGTATTTGAAATATTCTAATTCTAGGTCACCCAAGTAATCAATGTAAAAGTTTTGTGTGGAGACGGAGGCGAAGACTCCAATTTTTTTGGCACAACACAAAATTTTCCCATTCCTATCATATTGTAGCGGTAAATAATTCCCCAAAATTATTGACCACAGCAATCACTCATTGGATGCTGACCACCACTGTTTAAGTCGACTTGTTTAGCTGAAGGCTTCCGGTCAAGCATCCCCGCCATTTGGTACCCCGTCGTGTCACGTGCACGATCACTAGCTAGCTAAGCGTTCGTCTGAAGGCTTGTTTTGGTTCCTAAATATATCTCTTGTTTTGGACGATCAATTATTGGCTTTTGCTTTGTTTTTGGTACGCGAGAATAAATTAATTAGAAGTTGTTGAACGAGATATCCGTCAACCCTTAAACTGGTGAGCCCAACCGCGAACTTCATCCACGATAAATCCGCAGATAACCCCGGTGAGTTCGTTCCATTTTGTATTTGTTCTTGTACCATATATTATTCGACATAATTTTCGTCATGAGTGATCTTAGTCCCAAGGTCATCCGTATCCGCTCAACTCCTAAAACCATTCAGCTCGTACCATACTGGCCAGATAATGCTGAAACGTGGTTTCTGCTAGCTGAAGCAGATTTTTGTGAGCATGGGATAACCGATCAACGTTCACAGTTACTTGCAGTTATTCACGCCCTACCGCGGGAATTCAGCAAGTACGTAACATCACAGATGTTGAGTCCCGAGGTAAGTAACTCGTACGAGTTGCTCAAAGCATCCCTCCTCAGGAGAAACGTTCTCACGGACCGACAACGTCTAGATGAATTATTTCGTAACATCGAGTTAGGAGATCAGTCAGCCGTGAGCATGCTGACAAGAATGAAAGAAGTCGTCGGCCAAAGTCAGTTCGACGAAGGACTGTTTAGAGAACTCTTCTTAACCAAGTTGCCACAGTCTGTACAGACCGTACTTGTGACACTTCAGGGTACTGTAATAGAGGACTTAGCTATTACTGCAGATAGGATTCTAGAAATAACTAAACGGTCTGTTCCCGAAATATGCTCGATGACTAAGCAGACTTCGAGTAAGGATCCTGCAATGATAGAGTTATGCAACTCCATCCAGCAGATGTTTAGGTCAAACATGCATTCTAACTCCTCCGACCGTCGTCCTAAATCTCCTCAACGCAGGAACTCACGTGGTCGATCTAAGTCCAAACCACGTTCACTGAAAAACCCTGACTGGTGCTGGTACCACAACACCTATGGCCAAGAAGCGAAGTGTTGCCGTAAGCCTTGTAACTTCGGAAATGTCTCAAAGTCTGCGGGAAACTATCCCGCCGGCACGCGTTAGCGGCAACCGTCGCCGGTGGCACTAGCCGCCTACTTTACATCCATGATGTGATAAGCCAGACTCGATACTTAGTCGACACAGGCGCCGAAGTCAGCGTCCTTCCTGCTACAGCAGCAGATCGACAGAAGGAACCTACCTTCAACTTACAGGCTGCAAATGGAAAACCAATCGCAACCTTTGGTAGGAAATACGTCTATCTGAACGTAGGTTTACGCAAACCTATTCGGTGGATTTTCCTTCTCGCTGACGTTACAATGCCCATCATTGGCACGGACCTACTTAATCATCATGATTTACTCGTAGACGTCCGCCGAAAACGACTGATTGACAATACTACTAGTCTGTCTATCAAAGGCATCAGCTACATAGGCCCTAGTTTGTCACCCGTTAAGATAAAGGCAATCCTTGATCCAACTTTTCAACCTATGTTGACAAGTATCCGGAACTTAATTGCCCGTCGAACGACCTACCGTGCATAACCAGCAATGTTATGCACCACATCATTACCACAGGACAACCTGTGACATCTAAAGCACGACGATTAGCTCCTGACAAACTGAGAATCGCCAGGAATGAATTTGACCATATGCTTACCCTTGGCATCATTCGACCTTCGAATAGCCCATGGGCATCCCCACTTCATATGGTTCCGAAAAAGGATAGCAATGATTGGCGACCCACCGGTGATTACCGGCGAGTGAATGCCAAAACAACCCCTGATTGCTACCCGTTGCCTCATATACACGACTTGACGGCAACCTTATCCGGCGCGACTATATTCTCCAAAATCGACTTGGTTAAAGCGTATAACCAAATCCCGATGGCAACAGAAGACATCCCGAAAACGGCTATCATTACGCCTTTCGGACTTTTTGAATTTCTACGTATGCCATTCGGTCTCCGGAATGCAGCCCAAACATTCCAACGCTTCATTGACGAAGTATTTCGCGGTCTCGACTTTGTATACGCATACTTAGACGACTGCCTCATTGCCAGTCCAGACAAGGAAACTCACCTTAGGCACTTGGACTTGGCATTTGAAAGGTTACGCCAACATGGTGTTACCATTAATATTCAAAAGTGTCAAATCGGTGTTGACTCACTCGACTTTCTGGGTCACACTATTGACTGCAAGGGCATTCGCCCACTGGCTACTAAGGTCGAGGCTATACTGAACTTTCCAGAGCCACAGACGGTGAAAAGTCTCCGCACTTTTAACGGCTTAGTAAGTTATTATCGACGCTTTATTCCCAACTGTGCCTCTTTGATTCAGCCATTGACAGACCTCCTTCGAGGGAATAACAAGTCCATAGAACTTGACGCGTCTGCTCGAAATGCTTTTACCCAGATTAAAAAAGCTATTGCGAATGCCACACTTCTGATGTATCAGGATCCAACGGCACCGTTAAGTATCTCGGTTGATGCATCAAACACTGCAATCGGCGCAGTTCTACAACAGCTAGTTGACAATGAGTGGCAACCACTTGCCTTTTTCTCGAGGCGCCTTCAATTAGCTGAAACGAAGTACAGCACATTCGGCAGAGAACTTCTGGCTATGTACTGTGCTATACGACATTTTAGACATTCGGTAGAGGGTCGTGAATTTATAATTTTTACGGATCACAAACCTCTGACGTACTCTCTGAACTCACCTTCAGATAAGTATTCACCCAGGGAATCACGACAACTGGATTACGTCTCACAGTTTACATCAGATATTCGCCATGTATCCGGAGTAAACAACACTGTGGCAGATGCCTTGTCGCGCGTTTGTTCTTTCACCCAAATCGACGGCATAGACCTTGTAAAACTGGCTCGTCTTCAAAAAGAAGATACCGAGCTTCAACATGAGTTGTCGAAAACAACTCTACAATTAGCTGAGAAACCCTTAGGTATGGGAAGAGATACTATTCTATGTGACATTTCCACGAGTACTCCTCGCCCCATCGTGCCTAAAAGTTATCGCCGTAACGTCTTCAATACGTTGCATGGCTTATCTCACCCAGGTATTCGAACTACTGTCAAGCTCGTAACTAGTCGGTTTTGTTGGCCTGGCATTAATAAAGAAGTAAGGGAATGGGCACACACGTGCTTAGCTTGTCAAAAGTGCAAGGTGATAAGACACACCAAAAGCCCACTTGGCACCTTTCTTCTCCCTGACGCTCGTTTCGAACACGTCCATATAGATTTGGTTGGTCCCCTTCCTGAATCACATGGATATACTTATATTTTAACTTGCATCGATCGCTTCACACGATGGCCGGAAGCAGTACCCATCAAGGATGTATCTGCTGAAACAGTCGCACGCGTCTTCGTAGAAAGATGGATCGCTAACTTTGGATGCCCATCTTCCATAACAACTGATCGCGGGCGGCAATTCGAAAGTGGCTTATTCTTCGCCCTGACTAAAATCATAGGTTGCATGCGATTTCGAACAACAGCCTACCATCCTCAAGCTAATGGTATGGTAGAACGTCTACACAGACAGCTGAAAGCTGGTCTGTCAGCTGCAAACACCACCCATTGGACTGAATCCCTTCCGTTAGTTCTCCTAGGGATACGAAACGCCTTGAAAACCGATGCTGGTTGTACTAGCGCCGAGCTAGTATATGGCACGACACTGCGACTGCCTGGTGAATTTGTTTCTCCCTCGAGCTTCCCACCAGTGGTAGATCACGCTTCATACGTCAGCAGGCTTACAAACGCAATGCGTTCAGTTAAACCTGCTCCCCTTCGTCCACAGTCCATTGATGTTTTCGTTCATCCGTGTTTGAAAACTTCTTCACATGTATTTGTTCGTCGCGACTCTGTGCGCAGACCCCTGGAACCCCCATATGACGGACCTTATAAGGTAATTAAACGTTCTGATAAATTCTTTGTCTTGGACAAAAACGGCCGCGAGGACACCGTCAGCATTGACCGTCTGAAACCGGCTTACTTGGAGGGTAATCCTATTAGCATAGAGCTGAACGTACCCCAAAATCCACAAGTAACAGAAGATCGTTTAGACATCGATGAAGTCACTAGCACAGCGACAGCTACCGAACCTTCTATCGAGCCTCCCAAGAAAACCCGTTCTGGACGCACCGTAAGGTTCCCAGAATATCTGCACACTTATTTGACTTAACGAAGTCGTGTGATTCACGCAACTCATTCGTTTGTGGTACTGACTATTTTTTTTGACGTATCAATTTTTTTATATACAGTACCACCGAACACAAAAAATTTTTTTTCAACAGTTCATGTAACATACACAAAAAAATTAATTAGATGTATTTTTTTCTCGATGTTCTGAACTTAGCATTATTTTACTGTATAGTAAATGCACATAATTTTTTTTAACCAAAAAGCTCATTTCGTACATTTTCCTCGACATGGTTCTTAGCGTTCTTGTTTTCTTTTCCAGGTGCGACGGGCACTGGACAGGAAACAAACGAAGCACGGAATCCAACGAACAACAACAAGGAAGCTATGTACAAACACCCTATTAGCATAGGCAGACAAACCAGTAGGCATACCACCAAGCCGCTCGGAAGATTTTTTTCACCCGAAAGGGAACCATCGAGTTTTTTTACTTCCGGCTGGTTCTGTCTTAGGGTCCTCACGACCCCACTAGGGGGGAGTGAGCTGTAGCGGTAAATAATTCCCCAAAATTATTGACCACAGCAATCACTCATTGGATGCTGACCACCACTGTTTAAGTCGACTTGTTTAGCTGAAGGCTTCCGGTCAAGCATCCCCGCCATTTGGTACCCCGTCGTGTAACGTGCACGATCACTAGCTAGCTAAGCGTTCGTCTGAAGGCTTGTTTTGGTTCCTAAATATATCTCTTGTTTTGGACGATCAATTATTGGCTTTTGCTTTGTTTTTGGTACGCGAGAATAAATTAATTAGAAGTTGTTGAACGAGATATCCGTCAACCTCTAAAATATTATTCAGCTGAAAAATAACCACAAAATAGCTTCACCATATTTTATTTGAGATCCATATGTACTGGAACCTCTACCTCACAATCAAGAAGCGAGCTCAAAGAAATCACTGGTTTATACTAGCTCGTAATCAGGATATTTGATATTACCTTCGGGTTCACTGCAGATCTGCTCTTTGAATGTCGAAATTCCGAGAAATCATTGATGAAGGTATGACGGTCATCTGCAGTGGTTCCAAAGTGTACCAGAGAGTCTTTAGTATGTCCAAAGTGTGTTTGAGTGTCCTGAAGAGGGTCCGATATGTGCCCCAAAGTTTCCTCGATGCACAGAAGCCAATGCTAGCTGGGCTAATCTATGATGTCTCTGCACTACGAATAACAAGCTAAAATAGTGCAGAGAGTGAGTTTTAAATGTCCTTACTACACAAAGGTACAGTATTTCAGCAGGGATGATATGATCACGGTAAGCTGTGTTTTCCATTTCCTTACAAAAGTCAAATCACAAAACCTGGCTTCTTAAACGGATGCAAATTTATGAATGTTCACGTAAAATTTTTGCATGCATATCAGTAATATTATGAAAACTAAAAAACTAAAGTCAGTAGTAATGACTTACAAGCCCTGATAGGAACACGCGAAATCAGCTGATAATTTGAAAAGTGTGCAGAGAATTCTACTTGTACAAGGACGTTCAATGTCCACTGTCCGTATCCAATATCCAATATCGTTTTTACGAGCTAGTATAAACCAATTTGATTTCTTTGTGCTCGCTTCTTGATTGTGAGGTATAGGTTCTTGATCTTCGGTAAACTTCTGCGTAGCTTGTCCCGCCACTCGACTGTCGTAGCTTTGGTTGACTCCAAAGGGAGTAGTGCTGGGATTAATTATATGTGGTTTGTAGTATGAGGTATGAGGTATCACAATCTACCTTAGATAAACTATCGCTGCGAATCTCTGATGTTAATGAAAATCTTAGAATTCTTGGCAGACTTCAGTGTGATGTGTCTCAGTGAATGCATTATGTCACTCTGGCACGCCATATGAAAAGATGAAAATTTACTAAGGTTGGGGCAAAATAGACGGGTGTTACTACAAAGTACTCTGACTTGGAAGGTTAGTCTTCATATGTTGGCTGTTTTCCAGAATCCTTAATAATCGATTATGATGTACTTTCATATCATCATAGTGCATTACCGGCTCCAGCTGAAACTCTAAATAACCTATTGATCAGGCATTCTTTCGGCGTGTTTCAGAAATGGATGTCAGCATTACGGTGATATCATGAAGCGTGGGGAAGTACGCTGTCGCAAATCAAAACCGACAGTCTTTTGTTTCAGTATACTTGTCTAGGTAGAAATGAAGCAGTCAATTACGACTCAAATTTCATCTGGTATTTGATTTTTTATTACGAACCTACAGGAATGTTTTAATTATATCAGACGTCATATTTTACCGTATTTTGAAGTGTTCTGTGAACTTTTCCACGTATCTAGGATTTCTTTTGTGACGTTTTCCATGCTGTTCAGAAAAACAGCTCACGATAGCCTTTATCCGCACTTATCTTGAAAGGTTTCTCCCGTTGTTATTTTTTCCTTTAATTTCCTTTTTCTTTCCTTTAATTCCTAGAAGAACATAAGGCTTAAGCCACACGTCTCCGTTGCGTTCGGTTCTTCTCTTCACATGACCTCCTCCATGTCACCTCACCCTCTCACCGACGACCAACTCGGAGCTTCCCGTCCATGTTTCACTCCAGTAGTGACCTGGCATGTGATGTCACTCACATGATGGCTTGTTTCCTCAGAGTATAGCCAATCCACCTCCATTTCTTCCTGCATATTTGTTGCACAATTCGTTCCTGCTGAGTGGGTTCGTCCACTGCCAGAGTTCCCTGTGTCCTGATCTTTTCTTCCCAGCCATCTGATTTTGAGTTGCATTGAGCAAAGACAGCTGTTGATGAAGGTGTGTAGTTTGTTCGAGGTGCTCTCCGTGACGCAGCGCCAAGTCTCCGATCTGTATAGTAAGTATCACTGACTTCACATTCGAGTCGCAAATCCGGATCTTATTTTGCCCACTGGGTGCTACTGATCTCTTCACAGACTTGAGAGTAATGAAAGCTTTTCTTGCTTTCCCGATCCTCGCTGCTTTGATATCCTTATCAGTTTCGTCCGCCCGTAGTTTAAATGATGCTTTCAAAGTAGGTACGTGAGCGATGTTGCTTCTTACAGATTTCGCCAATTTATGCTGGCTGATTGTTGTCTGTTGTTGTTGTTGCTGTTGGTCAGGAATCTTCATCACCTCTGTTTTATCTACGTTCACCTGAAGTCCTATCTTTGATACTTGTTCTTCTGTCTCCAACTTGTTGCTTTTCACTTGCATATCTTCCAGTTTGTGGAAAATCAGACATATATCATCGGCGAAGTCCAGATCCTCCAAGATTTTGGTGAGGGTTCATTTTATGTCTGTCTCCTAGTCGCCAGACGCTGTCTGTCGCATTATGCAATCTACCGCAACCAAGAAAATCATTAGCGATAGTAGGCAGCCAGCTTGTCTTACTCCCGTCTTCACTTCTTCGAAGGATTCCGTAGGTTTCCTGTTGTGGATTACCTGGTATGCAGTACTGTCGTACAACTGCTGGATGGGATGTATAGTTGTCGGTGGCACCTCGTAGTAAAGGAGTAGTTGTCAAATTACCTCTCGATCAACGCTGTTGAAGGCCTTTTCAAAGTTAATGGAGTTGAGACAGAGAGCTGACTGCCACTACAAGCTCTGCTCAATGATGATCCGTAGTCTTGCCATCTGATCCACGCATGACTAGTTCCTCTTGAATCCAGCCTGTTCCGGTCGACGTTTTCCATCTACTGCGTATCTGATTCTCTCCTTGGTGATGCGGCTTGGAATAGACAGGAGCATAATGCTGCGCCAGTCCTTGCATTGACTTAATTCTCCTTTCTTTGGCAGTTGGAATAAGTAGCCCTTCTTCCAATCCGCAGGTACCTTGTCCTCTTTTCACACCTTCCCCACTAGGGGTCTCACCAAGTCCACGGATGTGATGTCCATTCATGTGAACGACTGACTGTCAGACAACGGCTATTCTAATTGGTTCGCGCTTCACATGTCATCTGATCAGGTTTCAGGAGTTGTCCACTTAATCTACTATATTATCACTTGATATGCATCCCAAAAATAAGCTTCACTTTTTGATAAAAGCAATAAATGTGGAAATAATTTCCCTAACTATTGGACCACAAGTATAGACCACTTGAATAAAAAGAATGCACAAACAGTCTAAGATAACTTAAAGTTTCAGTCTAAAGAAATTTGTAGAATTTTGAGCTCATTAGTTTTTTCTATTCGTATGTGAGTCGTACAGATTTAGGTAGGATGAAAAATACAACCTAAGAGATAGTTATATCACTGCGAAGTCCGAACTCAATGTGAAAACACTTTGATTCAACTAAACCAATAACTGAACTTTAAGTTGGTCGTTAAACTAATCAAATATTTACTAGTTTGTTCTCTAAAGGTTGAATAAATATATCCGTTACGTCTTATATTGTACCTGCAGAGAATAAAGTTGTATTTGATACAATATTTTACATTTCGTGTCGATTTGACCATTTGTGGTTCAATGAAATGTTGTACAGTTTTTGTTTCAGTGCACTTTTCGTCAACTGCGAGCCGTCATTTATGTCTCAACATTGCGATCTCGGCATGTGGATGTCCGACAACCATTGAAAGTTTGATGCCATGATTATCCGATACATCTTCTCGAATAGAACAGTAAATCTCGCAATTTCTTCAAAATTTTCGTACTCAATACAAATCTGACTAGGACAATTTGTTTTATTCAGGATTCCGTGCAAACCTTCAAATATAAGGTTATTAGGCATCCACATGCCTAAATCACGATGTTGAGACACAAATGACGGCTCGCAGTTGACGAAAAGTGCACTGAAACAAAAACTGTACAACATTTCAACGAACTACAGATGGTCAAATCGACACGAAATGTAAAATATTGTATCAAATACAACTTTGTTCTCTGTAGGTACATTATAAGACGTAATAGTATTTTGAATCTGGGTCAGTGTCGGAAAAGCCTCTGACTGCAGTTTTAGACCCATTCATGATATTTACATTTATAGCAGATGCACTAAACATTAGTTGGATGAGAATTCAAAAATAAGTTATTTGTCTTCATCTTCAAAAAGTAAAAATGTAAATCGTATTATGAATTAGTACTCTCAGTGGAACATAGGGATTCAGCCCCATATCTATATTTCCTTCTGTTCTATGGGAACCTCTTTATCTAGCTCCTAGATGGCCATGAGGCTCATCATGCCACTTAAAATCTGTGTAACATGCTCCTGATACACCTTCATTTTCCTCGACATTTTTGGAGCGGTAGATAGGGGAGAACAAAGAAAACCATGAAACTCAAGTTTCGAAGTCTTGTGATTATATAGTGAAAAATAAATTTTGTTCTAAACGTCATCCAGTAAATAGTACTGTCTCACTGTGTGATGTTTTTAATAAACATACTACTCTGGAATTATTAACTATTACAGTCCCGAAGTTTTACACACATGTATATACTCCTCAAATACTCTTTGCAGTTGTCTGCGGTATTCTTCTCTCTCCCTTCCTTCCTGGCACCGCGTTGTTCCTGGAGGCGTTGGACAGATAGTCGTAAATCTTGAGTTGCGCTCCGCTATCATTGCCCTTCAGGGAAGGTTTGCTCGTGGCACATGGGAGCTGTCAGTGTTTTTGCTGACATCATGGTAGCTACATCCTGAGTGTGCTCCTATTTTCCATCTGGATAACTGGAGTAGACTATTGAATGTCTAGTCAGTAATTTAGAGAGTTTACATCCATTTTACCTGCTCCCAAGGATTCCTTGCGCTTCTGCACCATGTATTCTCCTCTGTTTCGTAACCTGATCAGCATTCACAGATACGAACATTCCATGGATATCCAATGTTCTCACACCTATTGTCACCTTCATAAGGACAGATGGGCTTACCGATAAATGCGCGTCATGCAGTGACGTCCGGTGGTTTATTCTCCATTTACCTTCGCATAATGCGTGGCAACATCCAGTTGTTAGTGACGTGCTACGCATGATCTATTATACGGATTAAATGTAACTGTATAAAACTATGATATATGCGTGTGGCAGGCAAGGCACTAATAACTTTTGAAGACACATACTTGCACTTTCCGACGAAAGCGAAGTAAAACCAAACTGTTCAGAATACACTCGACCAAATCTACAACAACCAGACGGCTCCAAATAGAATTATAATGGTAACAGAATGTTGAAGAGCTGTGAGGTTTTTGTTCCATTAGACGAAATGTATCGAATAAACATAGCACGAACATCCGAATATGAGTTTTTATCCGGCGTGTAAACACTAAGAATATAGTAGCTGAACCCAAAATTAGCCTGCAGTTAACAAGACGTTAATTCGAACGCAAAGAGTACAATTGTTCAGTGAAGCAGAAGCCGTCCAAAGAATACAAAACGCGAAATGGCACATAAAGTACAATCTCAATAAGTAATAATACATAATTATTTATTCTCTAAACTCTCATAAAGTCACTGATGGCATCACTTACACATAGAATCCTAGAAACATCATAATGACTGAATGTGAAAATTGTCCAGTGCCTTAGTTTCTCTCAAGCTTATTAACCATTTCGCTACCTGAGATAACCACAATTTCGTTGGCAGCCAACAATATATGCTCAAGTTTTCAGTTATCATATTTAGAGCAAATTTCAGTCGAATAAATCCTTATCACTGACCACATTCTACCAAATATATGCGACTTCATTTGAAAACATCAGTCTTTGATTCGTTGATAAGCCCTCGGGCAGTTAATCTCATAATATTAATTTACATAATACAATTTTATTTGATGACATTGAAAAAATGGCATTCTGAAAGTAAGTGAAGACGCAGGATTGGTGAAAATTACTCCTGAGTATCTCACATCATCAATAAAAATCCTTGGAAAGGATAGTCTTCACGTATACTTGACCTTAATAAATGGGTGTTATGTAAATGAAGAACCCCTGAAGTAAGCGTCTACTACATTGCGTTGCGAAAGAATTTAATTCATCTTTGTATATGAGATGAAGAAACGTGTAGTCTACCGTCTGTGAGAATGATCAAGCTTTGAACGCTTTCTTGTGCATAAACCCCCCACATATAATTTGCAACTTTTGGTTGCAGAAATTCACATTAAAGATGATTCAACTAAATAATAGTCCTAAATGAACTCAGGTCGAAACTAGCCAATCAAACTGAGGTTTAATTAATTCGAATCCCTAGATGTATCTCTAAAAGCAAGGTTAATTTAACAGATATTCCTAGAGAAATCTCTTTTAGAGGAAAGCTTTTTTCAATACAGAATGCTCTAGTTACTCAGAAGTAGTGCTCCTGCGAAACGAATGCACTAACTACTCAGCCGCAGCATAGGCGGGCAATTTCGGTTATTATTTCCTCAGAAGTGACGATTGCTGAAATGCCAAACAAACAACCAGTAGTATGTGTGAGACTGCTGAATCATTTTATCGTATGATCCGACCGTATCAAAGTATGATCCTTAAAAATTGATGAAATGTAATTGTTTAGTGCCATAGCAATAAAGAGACGTCTTATGCTATCTGTTTCGTCATCCCAACAATATATATTATATACTATGCAGCATCCAAGCAGAAAAATATTCCATCCAAAGTTTGAGCAGCCTCGCAAGCTATAATATCAAAGAGTATCCAGATGGAAAGAAGATTATTCACAGGGGCTAGAAAGTGAAAATCAAACATTCCTAAATTACTGTCTGCAAAAGCATCACTGCCGACATAATGGGATCATGAGTTTTCTGTGGGTGCACTGTTATTGGGCCAAATAAGGCTATGCATTCAGTTTGTGATACTTTCTTTTGAAGGTACTTATCAAATGACTTATGGTAAATTACATGTTTGTTTCAATGGTGAAAGAATTTTTCGTTAACTCTAATGGTCATTGTGAGGAGAGCCCTCTATTACAAAACGCAGTTCTATAGCTCTTAGTGCCTCTAATACACATCGACGGTTAGAGCATAAAACCAAAGATTTCTAGGCTATCTATATGTTGACGTGAGGTTGTAATGAAAATTCATGGACAGTGAATGAAACTTGTTGAGAAGAGAGAAGGAATTACAGTCAAAAGAGAAGACTATGGGTCCACCTGTTTACGAAACTGCAATGTGGAAAAATCCGTTTTGCTTCCATATTCGCATATGAGTGAGGATATAAAGGGGGACGATATTTATTGAGAGACAAATATCCTCAGTTTTGTCTCAGTAGAAACGAGTAGGTAGAACGGAGGCAGTCAGCCGCGGTTTGAATTTTCTCTGGCCGCTGGCCTTATGTGATTTTCTGAGACATGGTTGAGAGATAGCCGTTGCCATATCAGATATCACGTTTGGTTGTTGAGTGCTTGTTGTATCTTAAAACATGTAATCTATTGTGGTCTTCTTTCAAAACTCCAATCCATTTCGATGAGCTTTAACAAACGTCATGATTTTCTGGCGCTCGATTCTTTTAGTTTCGGAAAAGCTCTGGATTGCGGTAAGATACCAGTGAAATCCACTCACCGACTCTGCTTCCAACACTAAACTGCATACACTTATAGGTATTGCTAAACAATCTGGCCTTTCCTGAAGCCCTGAAATAAAGGAGATGATCGCAAAACAAGCAGACAGTTAATTCAATAAATGACAAATCCTTTGATTAGGGAACTGTTTGCTGATGTGTACTTCATGTGAAATTATCCTGAGAAATGGTAGGATATTTTTCAACAAATATTTCACAGATCATATTCACTGGGCTATGCTTGTACTGAATGTGCCGTTGTGTGGTAAGTGGAGCTTTCATTGGGTTAAGGGTGTGTTGATATACACAGAAAGTATGAGGTATGCAAACACGAGCTCCTATACCAACGACTCCTACATTATTTGTCCTACGCAAATCAAAAGGCAAACCGAAACAACGGGATTACCATCCAAAATATATTTCGGAATCGTAGCGAGAGGATGATTTCTAAACTAGCTAGGGATTGTGAGCGAACGTAACCCGTCATACCAAGTGATGTGGATGCTTGGTCAGGAGTGTTCAGCTAGACAAGCTAAGGTCAGAATCCAGTGTTGTTTAGTGAATGCTGTAGGCTAATAATTTTCGGGAACAATCTACTGCTACAGGATATACAGACGCAGTCTTCGAAGTCTGTGGTCATACGGTGGTGTGTCCTACGTACATAGTAAGAAATATATATTATATTATTTCTGTCTTGTGATGGTTTAATTATCGTCCTGTGAACCTATGAGAGATTCGCGCCTCCTTTAGACGGTGTTGTTTCAATAATTCGATGAACCTTTAAACATGATCCGACGCATATTTCGGGCAGCTTCATAAGGAACCCTGGTCTGTGTGCGTACGGCCTCCTGCACGCAAAATAGGTTGCTCTCACGAATTTGGCTGCATCTGCTGCATAATAAGCACTTATAAATAGTTTATTCCTGAAAAGTGGCTTTATGTCATACCCCCTTCATGGAGAGAATATCTCCGCATAGATAGTGGGAGAATCATTGTGTAACTGGTATAGGAACGAGTATTGTCTCATATTTACAACTATTGAAGGCTAGCCGATTTCTCTGAGACAGTTCTTCAGCTCATTTTGTAACCTAATCGACTTCGCCAGAATTTTCAACGCCTTCTAGATATTGACGTCATCTGCTTAGAGAAGGGATTGGGGAACTGATGTTATTCGGTAACCAGCAAAAAAAAAACCGAAAATCGCCTTTTGTCGCACCCGCAGTGGTAGCGGTCTCCAGCGTAGATCGGATAAGGTTCTCTGTCGTTGTGATCCTCTAACTCTATTTGTGTTCCACTCCAGGCGAGCTTCGGGTTGTTGATTGCCTCTCAAGAGTAATCCCATAGTCTTATTTTGTGAGACACCATGTCGAAGTCTTGAAACAAGACAGTTATGAGAATATTACGGTCCCACAGTGACGTTAGTTTATCTGAAACTACAAGAAATCCAGGAGCTAGGATTAGATTGTGTTTCTTGAAGCGATCGATCCACCACTTTTGATGTTCGAAAGTAACGTGACTGGGATGGCTTGCCATGCACTCTCTGTGCATGTCGTTATTTGCGGTTACAAGCAGTTCAGCAGTAGTGGCGCACTCAGTAACACCCAGCTCTGAGTGGTGTTGCAGTCACTAATAAAAGTGAGATCTCATACTGCTTCCATCGTTTGTTGTTTGCCCTTAAAGTTGTATGTCGTGATCAGTTAACCGCTCGAACAAACGGAACTAGTGTTGCTTGAAGTCATCTGTGGGTATCGTCAGTGTTACCTTAGCGGCTTAACCTGGCCTAAACTCGCTTTTCACATACAGTGCAACTCTTCTTCTGTCTTTTCTATACTGCTTCTTCCAATGTTTCGAAAAAGAGTATGGACGTTGTAATAACAATTATTTTAACCAACGAACATTGATTTTTGACAGGGTTTCTAGTTTATGGATGTCAGCGAGATTAACTATCCTCGATTAGTCGCTGGTCTTTATCTTCTTCCAAATAAATCTAGCATACCACAGCTTGTGTTTGTATAAAAGGTGATCGTTCATCAGTCGACAAAGCAAAACAGACATGCTAAAACCACAGACAGAGATTGAGCAGTATTCGCCTAATACTTAGGTGAGTCAGTTTCACAACCGTTGCAGTGCAACCACTTATTTTACAGGCCACGTTCCATTGGTAAACTAGAAATTTACGGGTACCATACATGTTTACCATTAGGGTGCCTATCACGTTTTGAAATTTTAACACCACATTCATTCAAATGAGGCAGAGTACTGTTCTCTTTTTTATAAAACACCTCCCTAGGAGATACATTACATTGTGTAAGAATGCTGTGGCACAGTTTTGTAAAACGCATTTTTGGTGGTGGTACATTTCATAACAACTCAGCTGTTTAAACGGTCTACTGAGAATACTTCTTAATATAATACCGTATCTATTTATTCCGAATAGAGGAGCCCATGTCTATCCTTACTATCTGTGAGGATTTAAATCAGGAACATGGTTTTCTGAGATAGCTACAAATGCAGTAAATTCGAGTCTTTCAACTACATATCTTAAAAAATGAAAAACGAGCATCAAAATAGACTGAGATACACATCAGTCTTTGCGTAATAAAAAAAAAAATATATGAAAAGTGTTAATATCATTAAATAAAGAGTAGTTTTAAAAGCAGCTTGATTAAATCACTGGGCAATCAGAATTCTCGTGCATCAAAATGCTCGAACTCTCCAACATTCATTATTGTTTTAATCGTTCACTTATATATTGAACATGAACGCTACATGAATTCGCGCGCCGATTTAATTGGCTTTCAAATGAACATTGCGCAATTCATGAAAGAAATAAAAAAGAAATCTTACAAAAAATTTGTACATATAACGCATAATGAAAATTAGTTACAAGTGATAACGTTTACGAATAAAACAGTATGCGAAAAAAATAAGGAAAAAAAGACTTCAAGATAAATTATTTTCACAGATATTTAATTACAGATTCCATGAACTTTATGCAGAAAAGTTGAAATATTTTTAAATTTCAAATTTTTCCCATTTTGTAAATCTGGTGACTGGTGATAAACCTTCATAAAGTAAGAAAAAAAGAGGAAACAATTGTAAATATATAAGGATTATTCATTATAGTTTCTAGTAGGTATAACATACATGAAGATATGTTTATTACAATAAAAAATTAGGCATAAAAATTATAAAATCGATTTAGAAACTACGATTACAGTGTACCGAATCAAAGTTAATTTGGGAAAGAAAGAAAACAGAAATTAAATAAGTAATAGTGACAGCTATTCTCAGGGTTTTGATTGGTTTCAAGTCTGACTACGGATTGATAACAGTTAGAGAACCATTGGGGAATAAAAGTTAATACTGGAAAGGTAGCTGTTTCGTCCTAGTTTGGAACTCATCAGCCAACATGCATGCTAGTGGCTGGCTACAGGACGAAGTTGAGAATTTGTGACCGGTGGTGTCCCGACTGTTCGCGAGTGAGGACAAATACTCACCAAAAGCATCGGCTGGTGATCGCATTAAAATCACGAATTAGGAGAAATTAGAATTCACGAACTGGCAATGGAATCGAGTTCCAGGAGCTTACCTAGTAAACGGAAAGCCCTCTGTGTTCAAGTCCCGGTGGGAGTAAGCTGCCGAGGAGCCTCCGTTAACATATTGCTGGTGGGGGGGAAGCCTTAAAGTTGGTTTAGCCTTGACAAGATAACATCAAGTCAACTGCAAGACATCGGCCACAGCGTCAAAACTAGAAGCTGACATGTCAACCGAGACTGAGCATTTTAGTCCAGTAAAGTCAATCAACAAGGAATTCGAAACAACAGCAATAAATAATAAGTGATAGCCATTGTAAATTAGGTGATTGACTGACTGGTTTCAGCGTAGAACTTTGCAAAGATGTGCAACAGTTCGAGTTTCAACACGCCATGTAGCAAGAGAAAAGATTAAAGAGCGATTCAAAACAGAAGTGTGAGTGAGGCAAAAAGAATAGTACTAAGTAAGAACAATATAGTTTTATTGGACATAGTAAAACACTGAAAGTGAATGCACCTACGCCAACCATTGACAACGACGATTTTGATCCATATCACCGATTGTCTACAGCCGCTGTCATTGGGTCTTACCATCTCGAGGATCCCAACCAGTCAGTCACGAAGTCTACACCTCCCCACGTGACTGGCTTAAACAAACTGTTGTGGATTTCATTGACTGATGATACCATGTTTTGGTTCGACCATTACTAGCTAACTCTTTTCCAACCTGAGTCATCCATCCTATATCAGTCAGCTAAAATTGCCCACCGTCGAGGAAAGCGATCAATGGCTAGGCATGTTTAACATATATCCTAACCATCTCTCTCAATCGATGTAACTTCACAACCACTTCATCAATTGATTTCCTTTTCTTACCTAGCACTCCACCGATGCCTAACCTCAATATTGCTCACCTTATTACACCACTTAACACGGGAGATAAGACGGTGGCACCTATGATCAAAAAAAGACAGCTAGCCTTTTCATATCTTCTACTTTCAGTGGTTATATCTCACAGCCATAAAAGAGGTAAAGTAGGCGGGGGTTCACAGGATTTATTAACTCAGCAAAAACGCTTTTCCCCCTTTGAAATGAAAGTTTGAGTTTTTGTGTGAATAACACCACTCCTCCCACGCTTAATCTGCCGAACATCCAACACCTCCCTGAATCGGATATAGACACAGATCCTCCGTCCCTAACTGAGGTTACTAAAGCTGTCACCAATCTGAAACTAGGCAAAGCAGCGGGACCTGATGGAATGACTCCAGAGGTATTTAAGTACGGTGGAGACAGTTTACTGTCTTCACTAACTGAGGTTCTAGGCAGCGTCTGGGAATCAGAGGAAGTCCCATCGGGTTGGTGTAAGTCACTGATTATCCCCATATACAAGAAGGGAGACAAGTCTTCCTGTGATAATCACAGAGGGATAGGCTTGACTAATATAGTATCTAAAGTCCTAGGCTCAATAATCATGCGTAGACTAAGTGGTGTTCGGGAGGCACAAACACGAGAGAACCAGGCAGGTTTTAGACCAGGAAGATGGTGTATTGATCATACGTTCACCCGTCGACAGATTCTAGAACATAGGTATTCTTACCGGCGTCCAACAGTCATTATATTTCTTGACCTAAAGGCGGAATTCAATTCTGTCGACCGAGAGGTTCTCCGGTGATGCTTGGCTGTAAAAAGAATACCGAGAAAATACATTTCACCGATCAAGGCACTCTACTAGAACTCATGCAGCCAGCCATGTGAGGGCTTACGGCGAGTTGTCATCTGAACTGGTGACGACTAGTGGTGTCCGTCAGGGATGCTTATTATTCCCATTTCTATTCAATTTCATCATAGATGTACTAATGGACTTAATCCTGACTCACTTCAGTGACTCAGGGATTGACTTGCTACCAAGGAATAATCTCGTTGACTTAGAATATGCAGATGATATAGTCCTTCTAGGCGAGGATGCAGACGAAATGCAGTCTTCTAAACACCTTGAGCTGCTATCTACGAATGTTTGACATGCGATTCTCTCCTGCTGTCAAATGCAAGATGATGTTACTAGACTGGAGTACACCGACTCCTAGATTAGAAATAGGAAGTGAAGTGGTAGAGCACATTGACCATTTCCAGTGAAACTATATTGTTCTTCGTTATCACTATTCCTTTTGTTTTGCATCTCTGTTTACTGTCTCTATTATGCATTTCTTCTTGCTTTCTTTTCTTGCTTTGTGTGCTACAAAGCGGGAGTGTGGCGAATTGAACTGGTGTACATCTGTGCAAAGTCCTATGTCGAAAAGAGACAGACTCCTCAATGGAATGCAGGTACATCTGGGTGACGAATCTTAAATAGGAAAAAAATGCCCCTGTGGTTCTAATGCTAGCCATTTTTAATTAGATAATGTCAAGACAATTCAGCAGACGATGCTAACACATATATGCAACATACATATGCTGTTAACAGAGTCTTCAACCTCCGAATGTGATTTTCATTCAAACATTAACCAAGGAATTCATATATATATATATATATATATATATATATATATATATATATATACAATTTACGATGGCAGTAGGTGACTTTTTTGCTGATGGTCTATTCCAGTCTGATCGCTATTAGTTTTAACTAGCAATATTGAGTCACCTAACTTCGCGTGACATTTGGTGGCTGCTAAATACACAAGTCCACAACATAGGAGAGAGCTAGAAAATCCTCATTCCAAATCTATGACGCACATAAGCTCTATAAATCGATACGAACGAATGGTATGAAAGACAAATCAAACCAGTGGCTTGGAAAGTTAAGATATGCAGCTGAGAATCGAAAAAAAAGTTGTGGACCTACTGCGATTCCCTTCGTAAAGGAAAATAGGGATTTAAGACTTGAAGTTTCACTGTCAGAGGTGGTGGCGTTATTTTAAGGGATGAGGTTGTTAGCGTCACACACACACACGCTAAACCTTTCATCTTTAGCAGGCTTATTATTGGGTAAGCGGGGTTTAAGAGTGTCTGCTTAACACATCGCCTTCCCACTGGTCTATACTGTCTACTTGCTTCCCTACCAACCATGTTGTATCCTTTGGGACTTTGCAGGAATCCCTCATCCTCATTCGAGGACTGTTGTACAATCGCTGCACAGCTTCTACTAGTAAACACAACGCCAGTAGTGAACATTTCTGTGGATTATATTAATAATTTGTAGCAGTGAACTTTAACTGTGGGAATTGAGCCCACGGGAGCTGAATGGTTGGCGAGGGTATTCTACTCATAAACACCACAAACACCAAATTTGTAACTAAGTTAAATTAATCAACAATGAAGCGTGCAGAGCACATACACAATGTAGAAACTCTGGAATGACGTTTGAACACTATCAATCAATCGAAAACTATACACAGTATTTCGATTACACAAAAGTGATACTACAAAGACCTATAGTTAGAAAAACTATGTTTAATTATAAGATTTCATCATGAACTGACACCGGTTAGAGAACCATTGGAAAACCAGGTGGGGTGGGTGGGGAAGTACTGCACAGACAGCTGTTTCATCAGCCTGGTTTGGGACTCTTCATCAGCATGCACCCACTACACGGGCTCGAATTCAGAACCTTCTGGTTACAAGGCTAGCAAGCTCGTAGACCATTCAATTCAGCCACTACTGGGACATTTGACTGATCCAATGGCCAGCCCATGAATTCCAACTTCTATCGATTCACGGCATAGCACGACCACTAGCCAATGTAATTGCTTGCGAATAATTGTCCTCATGCCCGACCTGCTGTGCCCTGCGGGTCACGGCTTCTCACTAAAAGCCAGGTAACTAACTACCTACTTGAATAAGGCTAGTCGTTATGTCTGATATCGTAATAAATGAAATTCTTAGGAAAAAAAAATCCAGATATCTCGTAAATGCCCTAATTTGCATAAATAAGTGTCAAGATTTTTAAAAATATTTTTTAACACACAGAATATATACACATACTCAGTTATATATGCGCTTACTTGTATAATTTTAAACGGTTTTATTAAACTCGCAGAATACAGACTTTGTATTTCGGATTCGTTAAGTTGACTAATCAGGAGATTCCATGTACATCCAGGATCAAGAGACCATAGGGTTTCGAGGCTAAATATTGATGCCTATGAATATATATAATTGTGAAAAAAATATAAATAAAGGCATCAGAAAAATGAAAAGACAATCAGGTCGAAAACTCATGATAATACTTCTCTCTCTCTCTCTCCTAATTTAGGAGATCTGGCCTGGCTACCTGGTCATTTTAATAATCTTTGATTTCCTCTGGTACAATACCCAACTAGTAATCCTGAGATCACTAGTTCAAATCATGTTATCAATCCCAATCAATCATCAATTATTACATAAATATCCCTATACTGAGTCAGAAGAAGAAGACGTTAACAGAGAGGGGCGAATTTTTATTTTCGACGATTCATTTTCATAAGCTGCTGTACAGTAATCGTAATTATATTTCAATATTGTTATGTTGCTGCTGCTGAGTGGTTAATAGTAGTTTTCCCCGTCGCCAAATTGTTATGTTCTCGTCACCAAATTATTGCTATGTACTGGTCGAGAATTTAATAGTCCTGACGCAAGAAAGACGGAAATCAGAAGACCACTAGGTTTGCGATGATACTTCTATTTTCCAAAACACAAGGAGAAGCAATAAGTGGTATCACACCAAAGGAGTCACACAAGATTGTGAGAGCGAAATATATATGAATGTCCAGACAAGTGTGTGAACAAATCAATAGACAGTCTTAACATGAATGGCTAATTATAATGGAGTATCGATCCATATATACATAGCAAAATATAGCAGACATGTCAACAACCACACATATATTATGGATATATGTCACCAAGCAACGGACTGTCAACAAACACTCATATTATATATAATATAAGGGGAATATACATTGTTAAAGGAGACAGGTTCATCAAAGTGAAATGGTCACAGACTAAGCGAGCAAACAGAAAGAGAGACCACCATACATATATATATATATATATATATATATATATATATATATATATATGGATACATATCAAATATATTAAATATTCGCATAGTAAAATTTAGAACAACACACACATTTAAGCGAAATATATTGTGCTTTCAATTAGATCTCATCAGGCTTAACTCTAATATGACTACATAAGTTTACAAATAAAAATTCAAATATAAACCAGTCATGGTGTTTTGCCTATAGGATAATACGATGGTGAATATAAATTGTGCAAATAGTCATAATAGTAGTAATGATAATAATAATAATGGTCTTATCAATAATAAGGATGAAAAAGTGAGGCAATCTGTGATAACACGAATAATGAAAAAAAAACACCATGATTAAACAAATAAATGTTCGGGTGGAAGTAGTCGATAAAGGCTAGTAAAAACAAATGAACCGATTAAGTGATGCTAGACCGATTGTTATGGAAGTAAATGAGATGCGTTTTTAATGAAGATGTGATAAGATTAAGGGATGATAAGAGAGGGAGGGGTTGAAAATATAAACAAGCGGTGGCGTAGAAGTCATTAGTTGGTTATGTCTTAATAGGCCAACAAGAGAGGGATAATGGCTGTACGAACTTCTTTTGAGTGCACGCATAGTTTAGGTTTAATAGTTCGAATGCCTATCGCCTGCCTCAGCTGTGTGCGTGCAGTAGACGAATACGAAGTCTGTTTGAAAGATTCGGTGGGATACGATGAGTTACTTTGAAGGCTCTCGTTTTCTCCACTACATGAATGACACTATCAATTAAATATGACAAAATTGAGCTACGGATTGTTTTTGTCTGTCGTTTGCCAAGCCACCAGGATGGGAGATGTTCAATAGTGACACGTTGGCTAAGCTGTCTAGTTAGTAGTGTGCCCAACATAAATGCCACCGCAGGTGCAGTTGAATTGATAAATGCACATAGATGTGTCAAAACTATCAAGCTTATCCTTCATTCACATTCCAATCATTCGTCGGTTAGAGAATAACAAACATAGGTGTGCTGCGTAAAATGTTTTTCGTATACTCCTTGGAAGTCTGATGTTTTTATATGTTTCTTTATGAAACTACTCGGATAGCCAGCCCATCTCCGTCAAGGAATCGTGAATATATTCAAATTCCTTTTGTAAGAGGTCATCCGTACATATCTTTCTTACTCTGCTCGCAAGACATTTAACAACATTCCTTTTATATTCAATGGGCACGTAACTAAGGAAGTGTGTGTATTGCCCTGTGAATGTGCTTTTTCTATACACGCTTCTCCCAAGTGACCCATCTTCTCTCCTACTTAGCAAGACATCCAGAAAATGTAGTCTATTCTCCTGTTCCTCTTCACAAGTAAAAATAAGCGATAATAAATATTATCATTACTACTATTATGACTAATTGCACAATTTATATTCACCATCTTATTATCCTATAGACAAAACACTATGATTGGTTTATATTTGAATTTTTATTTGTAAAGTTATGTAATTACATTTAACAAATAAGGCAAGTAATAACATTCTGGTAAAATTTGTCCTCGAAAATGGATTACATAATATAACGTGTAATCTTGAAAGGGAGTAGGCTAATTGGAAATTAGAAAAAGAGGGCGGGCAGAAGTTGGGATCATGTATGAGAAGTGTGAGAAAATGACTAATCAGTATAATTGTGCACAGTGGACAAGAAATAGTGTAAAGACGATAAAGTGTCTCTATAAAATCTGTATGAAAATGCAATGTTATCTTTAAACAGTAATAGAGTGGTAAAAAATGTGCATGATGAGAATAATAATACTAATCGTAAACTTCCATTATAAAATAAGGCGAAATTACAGAGATGACGTCAATATGGCCTTGGTAGGACAAGTGAATGTATCTGGTGCTTTTGAATGCAGAGATCCGGTTTCGGATCCGTCCCCGAAGAGCCAATGACTGAACTATGTACAGATGGCGTATTCGAAGTCTTTTCATACGATATTTAGGGACTCTGTCTAGCACTATTAAAGCATATCTTCATCAGACATTTGGAAAGGTGTTTTCTAAGAATTTCGGCCTCAATTTCGATCCCCTTTGAATTCCAGTTTTTCATAGGAACAGTTGTGATTTTTGGCGAAAGAGGCTTTCCCTTAAATTTTTTATAGTTTGGTTTGTAAGCATTAGTTTTGTTTTTACAAGTTTGACCACGGATTGATTGATATCAGTCAGAGAACCATTGAAAACTAGTCACAGGGACTATCAGACAGTCAGCTGTTTCGTTAGCCTAGTTTGGGGAATCATCGACAGTTTGCACCAACCGCCAGGGGTCGTCAAACCCAGGACCTTCCTATTTACAAGGCAAGCTCGTATACTATTCAGCCACTGGGACCCGATTCCTCAATGGCCTATGAATTCTAACTTCTACTAATTCATGATATAGCCCAACCCCAACTTAAATGTTCTTATCAATGAATCTCAGTGAACATCCGTTCTCCAGTAGGAAGTGCCATGTAGTACATTTTCGAGAACAAATTTCCCCAGTCACTGATTGGTTGTCTTAGGAATTCTTCGTTAAATATAATTACAATTATTATACAGCAGCTAAGGAAAATAAATCTGCGAGAAGAAAAGTTTTCTTAGCTATTTACGTCTTTTACGTCTTCTTATTACTGAAATACTCATTTTGTTTAAGTTATGCTTATCCAACAGTGGATGATTTTCTTAACTCTAGGAATGTGAGAACACCTAATCAATACAAGTAATACAAGTCATCTTTACAGCTTCAACTACTCTTTTTGTATAGATTAGTCTTTGGAAGGCTGCATAGTACAACTACTCATGTAAGCTTATTTTAGAAATAGACAGGATTCCAAGTACGAATACGACACATATATGTCCAAACAAAGTTCACTTTTAACAGTTGGAAAAAATTTGAGCATTGGGTATATGATATTCATTATCATAACGAAGGTTTTTTTTTGTATTTCCCAGTGAATGAATGAAAAACACAAAACGATATTGTTGTCGTTTTTACTGACGTTTCACTATTCACTATTACTGCTACTAATAGCTTTATCAACGTAGTAGTAGTAGTAGTAGTAGTATTAAACCAGAATTTACAAAATCAACTCTCAGCTTATATATAACAACTTGATCATCGTTCCTCAGTAGAGACGACGTCACACGATATCAGAAGAGAAGAGTACTCAATAAGCTCGACATTATAGGGTTTTTTTTCAAAACATCAGACACACTGCAAAGCAACTTTTTGCATATAAAAGACTAAATCCCTAAGCATTCTCTATCTAATTGTGTCTATAAAATAAAATGCTTGCTTGGAATGTGATGCAATATACATCAGACAAACCTCACACCAGAGAGAAATCAAGGTAATCAGAAGAAATAAACACCGTAGAGAGTGAGTGTATGTTCGACCACAGAGAAATCTGACTGAATTAGAAGAGCCTGAAAAATCGCCAGCCATAGGTTGTCTACACCCTAAAGAATCAGGTCACAAAAATGATTTTGACAATATTGAAATCATCATCCAGAAAAGGCATTTCAGAAATGACAAAGAAAGTCCCATGTCATTAGAAGAACATTATATCAAGTGGAATCCCAAATTGTCTGAGCTGAATAGGAATGATGGACTAAAACAGAATTTGACAGGGTTACAGCATACACCTTGCCACCCATGAAATGACAAAAGCAATACAAATGTGATAAGCGATTTCACTATGTAAACACACACTACTTTTATAACTTTACACACTTATCAAATCCAACAATCTTCACCTGCTTTTATTATCTTTACCAATTGGCCAATTTGACAACGTAAAAATGCCCCCATGCTGAGGAACTATGATTAAGTTGTCATTACTCTCAAGTCTGCGTGGAGGTCAACAGCACTCAGAATGAAAATGGAAATAAGATCCGGATTTTCAACTCCAATGTGAAGTCAGTGCTACTCACGATACGGATCAGAAACCTGGCCAGCGCGTCATAAAGACCACCTCAAACAAACTACAGACCTCCATTAACAACTGTCTTCGCTCAGTACTCAAGAGATCAGATGACCGGCCAGAAAAGATCAGCAACAGGGATCTCTGGCAATGAGTCAACCAACCAAGCGGGAACCGATTGTGCAAGAAATAAGCAGGAAGAAATGGAGGTGGATTAGCTGGCCATACGCTGAGGAAACAAACCATCAAGTGACATCACTAGACAAGCCATTTTTCGAGTGGAACCCGAAAGGGAAGTGGCGTGTTGGTCGTCAGTGCGAAGGTGACTTGGAGGAGATCACGTGGAGAGGAGATGAAAACATGTGGGCAGACTTGGAGCCAGGTGAAAACTCTAGCAGAGAAGCGAATGCAATGGAGACGCGCGGATGAAGCCCTATGTTTCTCTAGGAATTTGTGAATTCCGGTTTATAAATAATACTTTGATAGAGCTATTAGCACTAAATAGCGAGACGTCAGTAAAAACAACGATATCGTTTTGGTTTTCATTCACACTGGGAAATACAAAAACCTTTATTATAATGAATATGAACACAATACAATTAACATAAGAGTTATTACACTATTGTTGAATGAAAAGAATATAGTTGAAAGCACACCAACCTTTTGTAGTTCTTCTGGTTGTGAATCATCTAAATACTTGACAAGGACATTGATTACCGATTGTAATGACTGAGATGATATATTAGTCTGAAAAGGAATAAAAAAGAAAATGAAATTAGCGAAAAGGAAAAATCCAATAAACCAAGGTCAAAGACAAGTTTCATTGGTTACAGGATTTCATCATGAGCTGACATTGGTTAGAGAACCATTGGAAAACCTGCCAGGGAGTACTGGACAGTTGTTTCGTCCTAATTTGGGATTCTTCAGCAGTAGTCACCCACCACCAGGGTTCGAACCCAGGACCTTCTGGTTACAAGGCTAGCGAGTTCGTACACCATTAAGCCACTAGGACCCGATCCAATGGCCCATGAATTCCAACACTTGAATATCAATGAGATTCTCATTAGCGACTTGTCCTATTCAGGTAGGTGGTTACCTGGGTGGTTCTAGTGAGAAGTAGTGATCAGTAGGGTACAGCATGTCGGGTGTGAAGACAAATACTCGCCACCGAAGACATTGGCTAGTGGTCACGCTATGTCATGAATTGGCAGAAGTTAGAATTCATCAGGTGGCTGGCCATTGGATCGGGTCCCAGTGGCATAGTGGTCTAAGAGCTCGCTAGCCTTGCAACCAAAAGGTCCTAGGTTCGAAACCTAGTGCGGTGGGTGCGTACTGTTGAAGAATCCCAAACTAGGCTGACCAAAACAGCTGTCCAGTACTCCCAACTGATTTTCCAATGGTTCTCTAACCAATGTCGGCTCATGATGAAACCTTGTAACCAACCAAATCGCTACAAGTCAACACTTTTAAACAAGTTTCTTTGTTGATCAAGTTATCTTCTAAAGCTGTAAAATTGTCCTAATAAAACATGTCACAGATCTCTTCATCAAGCAACTGTCTTTATTGGATACTACATGTGATGGATAAGGTTTGTAGCTCAGGTGGATGATTTTGATGTAGTTGTGTTCTCTGGGCTGGCTGGCTGGTTAATTTGTGAAGCTTTCATCGTCCTACTTACTTACTAGGCAACATCTTCAGCGCGTACGCTTCAATTTGATGAAGTGAGCTTGTAAACTTCTCCATGAGCTTATTACTCATCTCTCCCATTGGGCGACCTTGAATGTGACTATCTTTTGTGTGTTTTCACACCTTCTATGTTACTTGTATTGGAACTGATTGTTTCCTTCACGTGAAGTTTAACCCTTTGTGTGCATGAGATTTTCTTCTTCGTATCGATTGGTAAATTTTGTCTATCTCGATGTGTCTATTTATTGATTGACGAGATTCACTGGAATACCAGGTGGGCTTCTAAAAATTCTCTAGAATTGCCGGTGTTTCCTCTATCTAATATTTGAACGTTGACCCAGCCGAATTAATGTCCGTGGTAGTCTGTATGCAGAGATAGGAAGGAGTGGAAGTCATGTCTTTTAACGGCTAGTTTCTGATCATGGATAAGAAGAAGAAGAAGGGTACGTCCACTTTGGCCAATGTAGTGTTTTTTCAGTCATTGCAAACTATTTTGTAGATGATGTTTGGTTTTATCGTCTTTTACTGTTGAGTCTTTTGGTTGACACACAGCTGGCTGAGTGAAATAATTCTGTTGGTTTATGTGCGATATCAATTCCTAAAGGTTTGAAGTGTCTTGCATTGAATCGTCAATTAATAGACACATTGATATACACAAAATTTACCAATCAATTAAAAGGAAATCTCACACACAAAGGGTTCAACTTCACGTGAACGAAACAATCAACACCAATACCATTACCACAAGTTGCCTAGAGGGTGTGGAAACACACGAAAAAACAACCAATCACATCCAAGGTCACCCATCAGGAGAGATAATTAACAAACTCGTGGAGAAATCTGAAAGCCCACTTCTTCATCAAATTGAAGTGTATACAGTCTTTGTCAGCGTAAGGGAAAACAACACGGAAAAAGAAACACGAAGTTCACTTACTTGTTTACAAAGTGAACCTAATTCATGTAAGAGATATTTTTGTACACGATGGGATGTCAAGTACTTGTACGATATAGATGACGATGCACTGGAGTGAAACAAAGGGAAACGACAATAACAACGACAAAAATGTGTGTAGATAAATACACAAGGGAAAACATTGCATAACAAATAATTTTTTTTTCAAAAATAACCGAAACAAGGAGCATGAAGATAATCATCAACGTGTACCTCTCTCTCTAGCCAGCTTTAATAAAAGGCTATTTTTACATTGTTATTGTGTCAGCTAAATGACAATGCTTGTCATATGTCAGGTGATCCACAACGGAAAACACACAGTGAGGCGTTCGAAGTGAATACAGGAGTAAGATTAGGTTGGCTGACTGCCTATTACCACCAATGATATTCTGAAATTGTAGTGGACTGTGCACAAGGAGTGAGAAGGCAGGACTAAGTTGGACTGACCGACAAGAAGACTCTAGGAGATCAGGATTTTGTGTGCGGATGATTTTTGTTGAAGAAGTGTAGACAGGCGAAAGCTAACCAATTGACAGAAGACGCGGCCAGTAAAGTAAATCAGGACTCCAGGAGAATATGGAGAAGACGGAGGGATAAAACCCGGGAGCCACTAGCCGAAAGTTATGTGCTCACTCCGACAGGGATAAGGGTGGCATCTCCATGTATTGAATTCTGCGTTTTCATGCTGAGATCCATGCATTAACAGATATTTACAATTTAGAACTTCAATTGGTATGATTTACACTTTTTTTCAAACTGGACCGTACAATTTTTTATAATGCTAATGCCTGTGATTATACTCACTGTCCGGAAGAAAGACACAAATTCACCTCAGCGCAAACATAACCACGGTGCATCGGTGACAGCGTGGTAGAACACTGGTCAACAATATAAGTGGGGTAAGTGAGTTCAATCCCCGACCAACGCACTCCTCCTAAACCTCGCTAAGCCGGCAATAGAGTCGATAATGAGGGAAGGTTGGGGGATGCTGGGGGAGCTATGAGGATAGCAACCTCACCATCCTGTAAAAAATAAAACCAATGCTATCGACACTTCAGAGCTCCACAGCTTAGAGCCACTGGGAACGCAAAGGAATAAATAAATTTTTACCCTACACATATTGATTCGATGAGGAAACAAACAAACAAATTAACGAACCTTATAGAAGCACTTCGTGTTAAAAACATCACCAATGGTGGAATAATTTCAGATGATGCACGTTGTCGAATAAAATTCCCAGCAACTTTAGATAAAATGGTTAAGAGGTCAAACGCCTATTTTTTTAATGAAAAAAAAGAAAGTGGAAGAGAAGTGGGGATATTACAAAGTTAACTTCAACTGAAGCTTAATAATGTATACAGAATAAGTGAATTAAATTAAAAGTCAGCAAGCACTTAATAAATATGCTTTTAAAAGAATAGGAATCATGTAATGTGAATATTTTCCGTCTACAAACGAGATTGCACTCACTTCTTACCTTGATTGTACTTACTATTAGCCTGTCTGTCTGTCTGAATTCAACATAGAACTTGGCACCGAAGTGCACCAGTTCGAGTTGCCACGTTCCAAATAGCACACAGAGGTAGACAAGAAGATGAGTGAAGAGAATCAATAGAGTTTGACAAGTATAAGAGTGAAACAGAATGGATAATGGTAGAAAGGAATATGAAAGATTACAGAGACTGAATACATCTGTGCTGGCCATTGACAACGATTTTGAGCCATGTCACCTATTGTCTCCAGCCATTGATTCCTAGAGTCCCGAGGGCCCCAACCCGGGAGTCTGCATCTCCCTACCTGACCGACTCAGTTTAACTGTCAAGGATTTCATGGATTGATGAGGCCATGCTTTTGTTTGGCCACCACTTACCCTTTTCCAACCTGCACCTATATTAGCTAGTAATGCCCGTCGGGGGAGGCGATGGTTAGGCATGCGCAGCACGTGACCTAGTCATCTCAATCTATCTAACTTTATAGCCTCGTCGATTGATTTTCCCTGTTTGCCTGCCCAACACTCTACGCCTAACGTCAACATTACTTACCTTATTAAACCACCTAACGTGAGAAAGAGATCGTAGACATCTATGATCGAAAACAGTCAATCTTTTCATGTCTTCAACTCGTATTGGCCATGGTTCAGAACCATAGAGAAGGACGGAGCGAACTGCTGAGCAGTATACACGTCCCTTGGTTGATAGCCGGATGTCACGCCTACGCCAGAGATGGTGTAAGTTAGCGAAAGCAGCTCGCTCGAGCTTTTTGGATCCGTGCTGAGATTTCATCGCCAATCAGTCCGTTGGTGCTGATACAACTACTCAAATAGGTGAAGTGGTCAATATGTTGGTTGGTTGAAGTAGGTAACTACAATTCGCGTGGCTTGAAATGATTTGTCTGAGACTAGTTGAAACTAGTTCGAACACTCCAGTTTGTAGATATAATGATGGTATGGCTGGTATATAGATATACAGTAGTTCGAGTCAGTACACACTTTCCATGTACCACACAAGACAAGAGAGATAATAAACAGAAATGTGAATGAGGAAAAAAGAATACTAATATGGAGGAACAATATAATTTTATTGGACATGACAAATCCTAAAGAGTGAAATGACTCTCCGCCAGCCGTTGACCGCTAAGATTTTAAGCCATATTACCGATTGTCTCCAGATACCATTCATTGGTTTTTATTATCTCAAGGACCCCAACCAGTAAGGACGTGTACAACTTACGACGTGAGTGGCTTGAACTAACTTTGGTGGATCTCTTATAGGATTTCATCATGAGCTGACATCGGTTACAGAACCATTGGGAAACCTGCAGGGAGTACTGGACAGCTGTTTCGTCCTATCACGGACAACACCTACTTGTCATCACTTCAAATGACAACTATCCATACGGTTTTACACGCTTTCATGAGTTCCAGTCCAACTCCTCGATTAGATCGATACACTTTCTCGGTTAAACACTGCCACAAAACCTTCCGGTCGACAGAGTCAATATTCTGCCTTCAGGTTAAGGAATATGGTAAATGTTGGACACCGGAATTTGTCCAAAAGTGAAGATAGAACCAATGCCTAAATCCTGCCTGGCTTTCCAAAGTCACCTATTATTTTAGGACAGCATCGTAGCCAACTGTGGCTAAGAAGAGTGGACAGGGTGCGATAGAAAGAGCGAGGCTGTATGAGGCACACAGCTAATCCTAATACAAATATATATATATATATATATATATATATATATATATACAAAAAAAAAGAAAAAACAGAAAAACTTACTTTTTCAACAACTATAGCATGACTATCACGAAATCTCATCATTAAAGAAGCCCATATTTTATGAACAATAGGCAGTAATAAATCTGTGCGAAGAAAAAACACAGAATGAAGGTAAATTACAAGACATCAAGGTGAAATGCATTTCAACTGCTTCCCCACTGGAGTAAGTCAAGAATTAAACAAACAAGAAAGAGGCATCGTTGGAAGGTATTTTGTAATAGCCGTCAAAGATGCTACTGTTTTTCAATCTTATAATATATATGTGATTCAAACCCCACAACTCAAAACTTGATATCTTTAGTGTATCTCAGACACCATTTATCATCATGTGAAGGATGACGACAGATTTACTGCCTACTAGTAGGATGGAGTGAACTCATGACGCACTGGTTGAAGATCCAGTGCACCAAGGCAGGTTAAAAGCAGTCTTAAGTTTCACAGATAGCTATCGTCTCATTGGTGTACTTCAATAAGCGCTTCTATCTGTTTCTATAGGTAATCTTGAAAGCCGTTTTGATATTAGTCTTGTAATTAACATCAGTAAAGTGTTTTCGTGTAGTCGAAGTTTCCAGACTGCTACCTGTTTTTATCAAGACTTCACAGTCCATTCGGCTATCGACCAAAGGGCGGGTGTACTGATCAGCAGTTTGCTCCGTCCTCCTTTATGGCTGCAAAAGAGACGTGGCCATTTTCAGTGGTAGATATGAATCCAGACAGGTAGATATGAAAAGGCCGACTAGCTGTCTTTGGTCATAGGTGCCTGCATTCTATCTCCCGTGTGAGGTGGTATAATAAGGTGAGAAATATTGAGGTTAGGCGTCGGTCATCCAGTGCCAGGTAAAGAAGGGAGATCAATCGACGAGGCGGTGAAATTACATCGACTGAGATGGTTAGGACATGTGTTACGTATGCCTACTCATTGCCTTCCGTGACCGACAGGCGATGTTAGCTGACATAGGGTCAGGGTCGAAAAGAGTCAGTGGTGGTCAGTCAGTGAAATCCACAACAGTTAGTTTAAGCTAGACAGCCACGTAGGAAGATGTAGACTTTCTGGTTGGGATCCTCGGGACGGTAAACACCAATGGCTGGAGACAATTGGTGATATGACTCAAAATCATCGTTCTTAATGGCTGTTGTAGATTCATCCACTCCTTGTGACTTATAATATCCAATGAAACTGTATTGTTCTTCGTTACTTCTATTTCTTTGTCTCACACCTCTGTTTACTGTCCCTATTTTGCATTTCTTCTACTTTCTTCTCTTGCTTTGTGTGCTACAAAGCGGGAGTGTGGCGACTTGAACTGCATTACATCGGTGCAAAGTGCTATGTCAAAGACAGACAGACAGACAGTCCATTCGGGCATATATTCTCTCAACCTCATGTGCAAAGCTCGGCTGTTCCTCCCTATGTATGCGTGGCCATATATATATATATATATATATATATATATATATATAAATTCGTACATAGGATAGGATGTCAAAATCCCGAATTGTGACAAAAGAAATGTTTGGAATGAAGCTATTATTAAAGTGTTAGTTTGCAGGGATTCGATTAGTTCCAAGATTTCATCATGAGAGTACTGGACAGTCATTTCGTTCTATTTTGGGACTATTCAAAACTACGTACTCGACAGGACTCGAACTGAAGACATTTTGCTTACAAGGCAAGTTCGCAGACCATTAGGTGACCTGTGGCGTACAGTAAGTCAATTGTAAGGACAAATACTCACCATCGATGACACTGGAGATAGTGGTCGCTATATATCGTGAACTCGCAGAAGTTGGAATTCATGGCCTGGCCATTGGATAGATTGGGTCCCAGTGGCTTGATGGTCTACGAGCTAAGTCGTTCAAAAGACAGGATTATAAGCGAATAATAATTTGGACACACCCATTCTAATATATTTGAGTAACCTAGCAAAATAATCACTTAACCAAGTGTGTCATGATGCAGATTGACAGGAAGCTTCCAAAATTGAAATCAACATTTTAAGTCAATGGCTGCTGAGGTGGAAGTCCTTATTCTTCAAATCTGGATTTATTTTACGTTGTGGACACGAAATAACTTCATTGGACAACCTATTTAACTCTGGGTTAATCGCCAACCAATCGGAACAATTTATTCCACTCTGACTTAGTCGTACCTTAATAAAGGTCCGTTACCACGTCCATTATTTTCCCCCTTTACACAGGACTCTTATATTAAAATAAACAGAAACTGTGATAATTTAGACACCACCATGATCAAGTAGTTTCTCGATAAATCAACCGCTTTGTTGAGCCGTTTCCTCTCGGACTCAAAAATGCGTCTATAAATGGAAGCTGGTTGCTACTTTCTTCCTCACATGTACGACTTATGAGATTTAGTACAGAGTAGAACAATCATACCTTCATGGTTATTGCAAGTCACAACAGAATTATCGATGTGTCCCTTAATAAAAGATACCACAGCAATGAAATCCTAGGAGAAAAGCAACCTTGTCAAGCTACCCAATAAGAGTGACTCATGCCTCTGCAAGAATTGGCGTGGAATAATGCTCTTATCCATTCCAAGTAAAGTACTGTCACGTCATCCTGTAGAAAATATAAAACGCACTGGATGTAGATCTCCGCCAACCGGTAGAAGCTGGATTCACGAAGGGCGAATCATATGTTGATATGATTGCAACTCTACGCATCATTACACAACAGAGTATAGAACACCAGTCAAACCTCTGTCTGCCTTAACTTCGTCAGCTTTGAAAAGCTCTTCGACAGCCAGCGTTGACAGCGAAAGAATTCGGAAATCAATTCAACACTACGGCGTGAAGTGAACAAATCCTTATCAACCTCATTCAACAACTGGCTGGCTATATGACAATGCTACGTGTCAGGTGATCCACAACGGAAAAAAACTCAGTGAGGCGTTCGAAGTGAATACAGGAGTAAGACAAGGCTGGCTGCCTATTATCATCAACGTTGATATTCTTAATTGTGGTCAGAAGCAAGAAGTCAGGAATACGCTGCATTGACCGATAAAAAAAATTCTAGGAGATCTGGATTTCGCGCGTGGATGATTTGTGTTTGTAATGTCACACAAACTCAAAGACTTGCAGGAAGCCGTAAACCAACAAACTGGCAGAAGTGGTTGACAGCAAAGACAGAACTCCAGGTGAACATGGAGAAGATGAAGATAACCAACCAACAAACAGCAACAACAACAACCAGCACCAATCATCACCAACGAGGGAGAAGTTCGAAAGAGGTTATTCCCCTCACTTATCTAGCTAGTAGGCATTGTTTCAACCACAGGTCGGTGGAACGGATGAAGACGTCAAAGCCAACCGGAATCAGAAGGGTAAGATACACCTTCATCAATCTGTAACCAGTTTGGAAATCTTCTGCTTTCACTTAGCCAGCATAAACAATAAGTTTCGGATTTTCAACACTAAAGTCAAGTTAGTCAGTCAGTCAGTTCTTCTATATGGGTCAGAAACTTGCCGAGTGCATCACGAAAAACATTTCCAACAGTCTATAGCAGGCTTTTATCAAAAGATGTCTTCGTTGGCTCTATATTGAAAAATCAAATGGCTGGGGCCGGAAAGAATTCGCAACACAAGGGACTATGAGAATAATCTAACTAAGAATGCGTCGATCAACAAATATGTGGAAGAAAAAGAAAATGGATAGAGTTCACACTGAGGAGACCCTCGAATGACATAGCACGCCAGGTAAACGAACCGAACCGAACCCGAATGGGAAACAACAAGTGGATCGTTCGAGGGTGAGACACAGGATATAGGGCGAGGCGGAAATGAGAGATTTCGGGCAATCGTGGGATCTGTTATCTGAAGAGGACAGTAGGATATAGAACAAAGTGGAGATGTATTGTTGAAGCCCTATGTTTCACTCGGGACCCAACGGAATATTAATAATAATAACATTGAAATCACCATACAGATTTCCAGTGTATGAAATATGCACATCAACCAACAATGACAAAAAGCAGTGACAAGCATATACATGTTAGTTGAGAAAAAACTAACAACAATAATAAATAAAACTCACCACTTTCGCTTTCTAAGGCTAAACAACCCTCTTTAATCACATTCATTGACAGTATGCGCAGTCTAGGATTTCCGTCAGCCATTAGATGTATGCATCGTAATATAACCTTTTAAAACCAAAGAGAAACAACACACAAACTGTTACACAGACAGACTAAAACACTAACAGTGATAATAATAAACACATCTGTAAGACTCAGCGACGAAATTCCACAAAAAAACGAATATCAGACGTTTAGAAAATATATTTACTTCTATCCCTCACAGCAAGGCAAGCTTTCATTACTCTCAAGTCTGCGTGGAGATCAACAGGACTACTCAACTTGAAAAATAACATCCAGATTTTCAACTCCATTGTGAAGTCAGCGCTACCCGCTATACGGATCAGAGACTTGGAGCCACGCCATGTCACGAAGACGTCAAATTTCTTGACTTGAAGGTGGCCTTCGACTCCGTGGATCGAAAGGTACTATGGCAATGTCTGACTGTGAAGGGAGCGCCAAGAAAGTACATTGCACTAATCAAGGCACTCTATTCAAACTCACGTAGTCGTGTAAGGGCTTATGGGGAATTGTCATCTGAATTGGTAACAACCAGTGGTGTCCGACAGGGCTGTCCACTTTCCCCATTTCTGTTTAACTTCATCATAGATATGCTGATGGAAGTATCCTTAACTGAACGTAGTGACTTAGGAATCGACTTGTTACCAGGGAATAATCTTATGGACTTAGAATATGCAGATGACATAGTCCTGTTAGGGGAGGATACTGAAAAAATGCAGAGTCTTCTGAACACCTTGAGCAGCAATCTTCGTATGTTTGGCATGCGATTCGCCCCTGCAAAATGTAAGATGCTGCTACAGAACTGGACCACGTCAACCCCTAACTTAGTGATAGGGAGGGAAGTGATAGAACATGTTGACCACTTCACCTATTTGAGTAGTTGTATCAGCACCAACGGACTGATTGGCGATGAAATCTCAGCACGGATCCAAAAAGCTCGAGCTGCTTTCGCTAACTTACACCATCTCTGGCGTAGGCGTGACATCCGGCCATCAACCAAGGGACGCGTGTACTGCTCAACACTTCGCTCCGTCCTTCTCTATGGCTCTGAAACATGGCCAATACGAGTTGAAGACATGAAAAGATTGACTGCTTTCGATCATAGATGTCTACGATCTCTTTCTCACGCTAGGTGCTATAATAAGGTTAGTAATGTTGACGTTAGGCGTAGAGTGTTGGGCAAACAGGGAAAATCAATCGACGAGGCTATAAAGTTAGATAGATTGAGATGGCTAGGTCACGTGATGCGCATGCCTAACCATCGCCTCCCCCGACGGGCATTACTAGCTGATATAGATAGGTGCAGGTTGGAAAAGAGCCAGTGGTGGCCAAACAAAAACATGGCCTCATCAATCCATGAAATCCTTGACAGTTAAACTGAGTCGGTCAGGTAGGGAGATGCAGACTTCCGGGTTGGGGTCCTCGGGACTGACTCTAGGAATCAATGGCTGGAGACAATAGGTGACATGGCTCAAAATCGTTGTCAATGGCCAGCGCAGATGTATTCAGCCTCTGTAATCTTTCATATTCCTTTCTACAATTACCCATTCTGTTTCACTCTTATACTTGTCAAACTCTATTGATTCTCTTCACTCATCTTCTTGTCTACCTCTGTGTGCTATTTGGAACGTGGCAACTCGAACTGGTGCACTTCGGTGCCAAGTTCTATGTTGAACCCAGACAGAGAGACAGACGAAGGCCACTTCTGACAAAACACAGACCTTCACCAGCAGGTGTCTTTGCTCAATACTTCTCAAGATCAGATGTCCCTCCAGAAAAGATCAACAACAGGGAGAAATCTGTAGGAGCGAACCAACCCAGCAGGAACCAAATGCGCAATAAGTATGCAGGAAGAAATGGAGGTAAGTGGATTGGCCATACTCTGAGAAAACAAACCATCATCAAGCGACATCAAACGCCAGATCATTGCTCGAATGGAACCCGGATGGGAAGCAACGAGTTAATCGTCAGTGCATCGGTGACATGGAGGAGATCATGAGAACAGGAGATGAAAGCATGTGGACAGACGTGTGGAGCTAGGTGAAAACGTTGGCAGAGAACCGAACGCAATGGAGACGTGCGGCTGAAGCCCTATGTTCTTCTAGGAACTAAAGGAAACAATAATAATAATTTACTCCCTCACAGTCATAACCTCTGTCGTTGAGCAATTTTAGTTGACAAGGAACTGGATTGCAAAAGAATGACGGGTGGTCAAAGAAAACCTAGTGTCAATCGATGAAATCATTGACCGTTGGTTAGAGCTAAGTAGGGACGTATAGATAGAATATAGTTATAATTCACTTGGTTTTATAGGCAGAGGATTTAAGGCTTCGAATTCCGACTGTATTAAACTCCGCCTGTACAAATGAATAATATAATCAACTTTTTTTACACAATACATGAGCATGGCCGGCAGTCTGATAAGGAAACAGTTCGCCGAGAGCAAATAAATACCAACTAACATGTTAAGAAGTGATAGGAAGAAAAATGCAGGCTAGACTACTACTACTCTACATCGTACTCACTTCTTCAACTATTTGTAGATGATCAGGAAATGTTTGGTTTTTATTTTCATCGGCTTCATCATCCTCTTGCATCGCTGGCTTTTCATAGTCATTTATTCGGTCAGTATTTTCCGCATTATTTGACTTCTCTTGACTAACATCATCAATCGATTCAATATGATGAAGACGACGGGTCTCAGATATCAAGTCAATTGTTTTCTGGTATATGCTGGATAATATTGATTCATTATTATTATACTGACAGGAGTTATTCACCTAGGAACAAGAAAAGTAATCAAATATACGATTATTATTATTATTATTATTATTATTATTATTATTATTATTATTATTATTATGAAACTGAATAAAATTCGGTTAGAATACAAAAAAAAGTGAAACTTTTATGGACTCGTCGCAAATAAGTTATGGGGTCATTGCCGATATTATGATGTTTTGTTTTCTTTCCTTCACGTTCCCTAGTGGGACATAGGGCTTCAAGCTAGTGGCTCGAAGTTTCTGTAGTAGTGTTTATTTTACAGGATGGGGTTGCTAGCCTCACGCCCCCCCCCCAACCTTTCCTCTTTAACAGCATTATTTCTGACTTAGCGAGGTAAAGGAGTGCGTCACTGGCCGGCGATCGAACCCTGGGCCATGTGCATGGTCGGCAAGCGTCCTAACCGTTATGCCACCGACGCACGATATTATGATGTGACCGAGCGTAAATAATGAAATAATGAGATATAAGGGACGATAACATGTACAGACTGGTATTGCTGAGTAGTTAATTTGTCCTGCTGCGAAGGTGGTAAATCAGAAGACCACGACAATACGTGTATTTTCACACAAGCGAAAATTAACTGTCACACAAGAGTGTGAGTGAAAAAGTACTAAGTGTACGAAAAGTGTGAAAGAGTGTGTCAACTGTACAATACATGAACCAATAAGACAGATAGGTAGTTTGTCTTACCATCATTGGATTCTGATTGGTTGTAATGTCATGTGATAAAAAGGTCACACATTGTTTATTTAGTTAATGGATAGACAAAACATTTTGTTAGTCATAATGGAATATCGATCAATTTCCACATAGCAAAATATATCAGGCTGTCAAAAACAAATGCAGACATCACGTGACTACATATCAGAAACTGACTCTGTTAATAAGAGAGAACAAATCTCACTCAACAGTCATTAGCCACGAGACTCATAGACAGACATTTTCTACATGTACTTTTACATGTCTCGGTGTATATTCCTCTCAGCCGCTTATATATAACCTTGTAATCCTAATGGTTGTTGATTGTTTTAATTCAGCAATGTAATAAGTGTCCCCCAAGGTCGTTTCAGGCATGTAAACAGAATCTTCCGAACACCTTGAGAAGCAGAAGTCTACGAATGCTTGGCATGAGAGCAATTCGCTTTTGCTGCCAAATATAAGATGAAGCTTGCCTACTTGCTATAGGACTGGAATACACCAATTCCTAGCTTAAAGACAAGGCAGAATCCACATTAGGAACCCAACTTATGTATGCAAAAGAATTTGATTCAGACTCTTTCCTTACCCGACTAACCGGCCATCAAGGTTTTAATGATCCTTAATTTGTTGTAAAAATTTCCTAAATTTTATTTATTTACTATTGCATTTTTATGCTTATTACAATTTATGCATCTTTAGTGAACTGTAATTCCATTGATCTTACTTAACAAATCGATATTACAGGATTTCATCATGAGCTGACATTAGTTAGAGAACCATTGGAAAACCACCTGGGAGTACTGGATAGCTGTTCCATCCTAGTTTGGGGCCTTTTATGAGTACGCACCCACCGTGATTCGAACCCAGGACTTTCTGGTTACAAGGCGAGCTCGTATACAATTTAGCCACTGGGACCAGATCCAATGGCCAGTTCATGAATTATAACTTCTGCCAATTCATGCATGACATAGCGCGACTGGCGCTAGCCAATGTCATCGTTGGCGCGAGTTTTTGTCCTCACACCCGACCGCCTGCTGCACCCTACTGGTCACGACTTCTCACTAGAAACCCAGGTAACTGCCTACCTGAATAGGGCAAGCAACTAGTGAGCATCTCATTGATATTCAAATGTTGGTTTGTGGGGATTTGATTGTTTAGAGGTGGATGCGTACTTCTAAAGAGTCCCAAACTAGAACGAAACAGTCGACCAGTACTCCTGGGTTTTTCAATGGTTCTCTAACTAATGTCAGCTTATGGTGAAATCCTGTAACCAATCAATCAAATCCCTACAAACCAACACTTTAAAATCGATATTATTTAAAAAGCACTCATATTGTCGTTGACTAGTATTCTAGAATATTCTATGTATATATAATTGTAGAGCCAGAAGAAATTATCGAAAGTAGGATATTCTTTCCTCATTTTTTTTTGTTTTTTTAGCTGTCTGGATGAATATTTTCGCTACATTTCACTCTTCATACCAGCCGAGATTTATTTAGTTTGGTCTACCGCTTCCTATACTTTCCGTTAATTATTAGTTTCTTTCTCTTTTATGAAATCTGGCCACTTCAACTGTTAGACCTTTTATGCGAAATTCCACCCTGATAATTCAAGATCAAGTTCAATAATTAAGAAAATAAAAAATGTTCTAACCAGATATCAGTATTTTGTGTGATACTTACTATGTAATTATCAGTAGATTTATGAATCCTATAATCTCAAATATAGCCCTATCCACCTACCTGACCACTTTGTACGATTGATTTATCCATTGGCCCATTATCATTCATTTCTTCTATACACCGACCTGCTAACAGCCAACTCCATTTACGACAAGTTTGCATTAATTGAGCGAATGGTGGAAGGAACAGTTCAGCAGTGTACGCATAGGTAAGATCCAAAGATGAAAGCATCTAATGGGGATAAGAAGATAAACAAAAAAAAGTTGTGGTGTCATTGATATGAATTAAAATCAGTCGATGTAGAAGTCTAATCTCTCTCTCTCTCTCTGCAAGACGTGTGAGAGTGGCAGGCGACCACCTAAAAACTCTAAAAACCAAAACTTTTCAGTGAATATTAGCACTCATGAAAGAAAGATGTGTTTGCAAACTCGAAGAAATTGATGCCACCGAGCCCCCCCCCTCACCCCGTGGAGCTTCACGATGAAGTTACATACACACATCACTACGTTGAAAAACGTCACCAATAGACAATTGGACTGTAACTAACTAACTAACTAACACGTCAGTTTACGCCATCTCTGACATAGACGTGATATCCGGCTGGTTATCGACCACAGGACGTGTGTACTGCTCAACAGTCTGCTCCATCCTCCTTTATGGATGCGAAAGAGACTCGGCCATTGAGAGTGAAGAACAATGAAAATAGGTGTCTGCGTTCTATCACCCGTGTGAAATGGTATAGTAGGGTGAGCAATATTGAGGTTAGCCACCGGTGGTCCAGTGCTAGGTAGGTTGGGAGGGGAAATCAATCGATGTGGCTATGAAGCTACATCGACCAAGATGATTAGGACATACGTTACGCATATCTAGTGATTGCCCTCCTCGATCGAAAGGCAATGTTAGCTGACATAGGATCAGGGTCGAAAAGAGCCAGTGATGGTCAAACCAAAACATTGCCTCACTAGTCAATGAAATCGACAACAGTTAGTTTAAGCCAGCTAGCCAGTCACGTGGGAAGGTGTTGACTTCCTGGTTGGGTTCTTCGGGACGGTAAACACCAATGAAGGCTGGGGACAATTGGTGACATGGCTCAAAGTGATTGTTCTCAATGGAGCAGATTCATCAACTCCTTGCGCATAAGATACCCAATAAACTACACTATTATTCGATATCACTATTCTTTTCGCCTCATAACTCTGCTAAAATAATATTATTTAAGTTTAAGGGATCTGATTGGTTTCAGGATTTCATCATGAACTGACAGCGGTTAGAAAACCATTGGGAAACCACCAATTAGTACTGAAGAGACAGCTGTTTCTCCATAGTTAGGCATTCTTCATCAGGACGACGCGCACAGACAGAGGTCCGAACCCACGACCTTCTGGTTACAAGGCTAGCGTGCTTGTAGACCATTCATCGGCCACTGGGACCCGATCCAATGGCCAGTTCATAAATTCAAACTTCTGCCAATTCATGATGTAGAGAAACTGGTACTAGCCAATGTCATCGCTGGCGCGAGTATTTGTTCTCACATCCGATTTCCTGCTGTATCCTACTGGTCATGACTTCCTACTAGAACCCAGGTAAATAACTACCTCCCTACCTACCTGAATAGGGCCATATTCACTAGTGAGCATCAGAAATAAGTTACCCGACATCAAGGTATGAGCCCCAAAAAATAACTTTTTGAGGAGGTGTTAATACTACTCAGTTGCTCAAACTAAAATAGATGGAGCAAGACCTGAACAAAACACCGACTGACTGAAAGTGGGAGTGCTTTAGGCATTTAGGTGGGGAGAATGAAATGCTTAAAACACCTCCACCAGATAATAACCTTGATTACTGTATTTTAGGATGGCATAAAAACAAACAAAAAATAATAATTAAATGAAGTTACCTTAGTAACCATTGGTTTCAAAATTGGCAAAACATCAATTGTACAATATTCAAATAAAGTATTTGTAGCATTACAAGCTGATAGGAGAAATTGTTGAGTTTCATCTTTTCTTCCAGATGATAAACTGTTGGCATTTGATGAATTTGATGATATCGTCAAAATATTGACACGATGTAGATCTAGTGTTATATTGGAAACTAGATAATCTGCATTGTCTGTAATGAGTTCGCTTAAACTACAATTTGAAAAGATATATATATATGATAGAGAAGATTTGTAGCTCAGATGGATAATTTTGATGTGGTTTTGTTCTCTGAGCTGGAAATAACAAGAATGCTAGAGAATTTTTAGAAGCTTGGCATTCCAGTGAATCATCAATCAATAGACACATCGAGATAGACAAAATTTATCAACCAATAAGAAAGAAACTTCACACACGATTGGCCAAAGTTCAAGTCACAGAAACAATCAGTTCCAACACAAGTAACCTAGAAGGTGTGAAAACATACATAAACAACCAATCACGTCCAAGGTCACCAGGAGGAATGATTAATAAACTCGTGGAGAAACCTAAAAGCTCACTTCAATTTGAAGTATGCGCTGAAGATGTCACCCAGTAAGGTGATGAAAGCTTCGCAAACTAACTATCCAGCTCAGAGAACAAAACCACATCAAAAAAAGATATATATATATATATATAATATGTTTATTTATCGATATGTGATCAGAATTAGAATCGTAAAAGCCTAACAGCTGAAAATCAATTTGATGTTCACAAAAATGATTGAATAAAGGGATGGAGTTGCCAAGAGTTCAAGGGAGAAGTCATGACTAGTTTGGTTAGAACTGATGAGTCACTGGGGTTCTGCTACACTTTAACTGAATGGTTAACAAGTCCGTCTTCTGAATCTGAAGGTCCTGTGTCCAACCAACCCACGGTGAGGTCATACATGGGTGTATGCTGTTACTGAAGAATCGAAGAAACTGGTACGAAATAAATGTTTGGTACACTGTGGTTTTCAGTGGTACTCTATCTAACTGACGTCGTTTCGGTGATCTAGGTTGGAATGAATGAATCGAGAATCCTTTTACAAACCAACACTTGGCAATTATTAAGTATTGGTTTGTAGATATTTCGTTTGACTGGCTGGAGGAATTCCTCATTAAGACGATTAAGCTTAATGGTGTCTACGAGCTTCCCTTGTGACCAGAAGGTCGTCGTGGACTCGAACTTCAGTGGAAATAGGAACTGGTGAAGAGTCCCAAACTAGGCGGACGAAACAACTAACTATCCATTACTTCCAGATTGTTTTCCGATCTGTCTGTCTGTCTGTTTTCGACATAGAACATTGAACAAATGTGCGGAAGTTCAAGTCGCCACACTCCGTGTAGCACGCGAAGCAAGAGAAGAAAGTACAAGAAAAGCATAATAGAAACAGTGAGCAGAGGTGTGAGACAAAGGAGTAATAAAGACAAACAAAACAGTTGCATTGAAGATCATAAGTCACAGGGAGTGGATGCATCTGCGCCACTGAGAACGATTTTGAGCCATGTCACCAATTGTTTCCAACCATAGAGTTTTACCGTCCCGAGGACCTCAGCCTGGAAGTCTACACCTTTCTACGTGGCTTAGACCAACTGTTGTGGATTTCATTGACTGGTGAGGCCAAGTTTTTGTTTGACCGCCGCTAGCTTTTTTCCAGCCTGGCCCTATGTCAGCTAACATTGCCTGTCGGTCGACGAAGGCGATGGCTAGGCTAGGCATCCGTAACACATGTCCTAACCATCTCAGTCTTTGTAACTTCACAACTTCGTCGATTGATTTCCCCTGTTTACCTAGAACTCGACGCCTAACTTCAATGTTGCTCACCTTATTATGCCACTTTACACGGGAAATAGAACGCAGGCACCTATGATCAAAGACAGCTAATCTTTTCATGTCTTCCACTCTCAGTGGCCAGGTCTCACAGCCATAAAGGAGGACGGAGCGGACTGAAGAGCAGTACACCCGCCCTTTGGTCGATAGTCGAACATCTCGTCTACGCCAGAGTCGGCGTAAACTAACAAATGCGAAACGAGCCCCTTGTATTCGTGCTGAGATTTCGTCAGAGATCAACCCGTTGTCACTGGCTGATGGTACTTCCCAAATAAGTGAAGCGGTCAACGTGCTCCACCAACCACTTCACTTCCTATTTTTAAACTAGGCGTCGATGTAGTCCAGTCCTGTAACATCATCTTGCATTTGGTGGGAGCGAATCGCATGCCAAACATTCGTAGATTGCGGCTCAAGGTGTTTAGAAGACTCTGCATTGCGTCAGCGTCTTCGCCTAGAAGGACTATATCGTCTGCATATTCCAAGTCAACGAGATTATTCCCCGGTAGCAAGTCAATCCAATAGTTCTCTCTGACCGTTTCTCTAATCCTCCAAACTTGGCAATTAATCAAATTTGACCACTTAGCCTAATTTGTTGAAAGGTAGAATGAAATTTGTATAAATGAACACAAAAAACATATGAAAGTTTTGTGAAAAAGAGAAACAACTTATACATGCACTCCCCTTAATAGCTTTAAACGAACACTAGTCAAGACTCTGTACTATAAAGCTGGGAGAATATATCCTACAGAGAAATTAGATTTTAAAAAAATGTGGAAAAACAACGATTACCATCAGAAGTTCATTAACAACAAGTAGGGAAGATCTGAAGGCTCAAACATCAAAACAAATCACGGTCGGGAAAAAGCCTGTCTTCATTCAACTCGATTTTAAAAGTGGAAATATTACAGCCAGAGTCTGTCGTGCAGCTGGCTAAGTTGGTTTCCATCTATCGGACAACATGCTCCTTAGTGCAGTCAGAAGTCGACAGATACCCTTATCATGTTAACTCCAAGTGTTTATACAAATTTACATGTATGCGCTACTGGCAGTTAGATTGCGGGAACATGAAGAAGAAGAAGGGTACACCTCCGATTTTCTGTACATGTACTGAAAAGCCTAAGTCTCCAGAGGGGAACAAACGCTGACAACAACAGTGACATTATCAGGCATCTTCTTCTACGGGACATGAGGTGGAAATCGCGAAATCCTTAAAAAATCATCAATAGACTAATCAGGTGAATTCTCCTCAAGTTTTCCTAGGCAATGTCTATCAAGTGCCTGGAAGCTGATTTATGTGTTCAGAAAGGAGTGATTATCGGTCTTTCCTTGCACAGCTTATTAACTGGGTGTCTTCAATGTCTTTCATTTGATCATGTAATCTTCGGCTTTAACCACACTCCACCCTCCTTTTGTATAGCGTAATTTTGCTTGTCTCTTGTTTCTGTGATTTGAGTTGAACTTAGGACATTGTTGCCCAATTTCTCAGTTACTCATCATCTAACGCATCTCTCATATTTATCACGTGACTTCTTTACGATTGTATGCATACAATCACTTTGTTTGAACTTGAAAGCTCTGAGTAAAAATTATACAAACGTAATTTTCTGAGCACTGTTCACTAATCCCGGTAACTCCTATCAACTGACATCATGTAAAATTTTTGGAAGTATGTTAAACCTATTCTAGCAACAGTAAAGAATAGGCACCAAAACCAAGTGACCTTGAAGTAACTAATAAGACGGCTGAGCATTACGCATGGATGGTGTTCATAATCTTGGCTGCAAGTTTCACTTATAGATATTTTAATGCTAATAATACAACGATTAGTCAGTCCTTTTAGGCACTAACCATTCATACACTCGAGCGAAATGAATAATGGCAACTATCATCATTTGACTATATATATATATATATATATATATATATACTCATCATCATGATATTCCTAGTTGTGGTAGACTGGATTATGCGTCAGACAGTAGGAAACGAGAAGAGAGGGATATCATGGAAGAACCGACGTGAAGAACCTAGAAGACCTGGATTTCGCGCGTGGATGATTTATGCTTGATGTCACACAAAATCGAAGACTTACAGACGAAAATCGACAAACTGGTCGAAGAAGTAGCCGGCGAAGACAGGACTCTAGGTGAACATAGACAAGACGGAGGTTATGAAAATAACCAAACAACAACAGCAGCAGCAACATCAAGCGCCAATCACCATCAATGGGAGGGATTTAAAAGAGCTTACTTCATTCACTTATCTAGGGAGCATTGTCTCAACTACAGGCAGTCAGAACGTACGAGGATGTCAAATCGAGCGAGAATTGGGAAGGCGATAAACACATCAAACTGAAACCAATCTGGAAATCTTCGTCACTCAGCATCAACAACAAAATTCAGTCGGATCTTCAATAAAAACAACGTGAAGTCAGTTCTTCTATACGGATGAGAAACTTGGTGGGCGGATCACAAAGAATATTTCCAACAGCCTGTTGCAGACCTTTATCAACCAACAACTGTCTTCGCTCTATACTGACGATCAATCAGATGGCTGGGCCGGAAAGAATCACCAACAAGAAACTATGGGAACAAACCGAACAAGAACCAACCGCCCACCAACAGCAAATATGCAGAAGAAAGTGAAGATGGAAGCGGCGAATGGGACGTCAGTGCAAAGGTGACATGGATGAGGAGATCGTGTGAAGAGGAGTTGAAACAGTATGGACCAACATGGATGCAGGTGAAAAGTAAAGCAGAAGACAGACGCAAGAGGGGAGACGTGCAGTTGAAGCCCTATGTTCCATTAGGAACCCAAGGGAATAATAATAACAAAGTCAATCATGCTTCTAAATAAGATCCTATAAAAATGGAACTTATACAAATTTTATTGAAGGATTTTGGGTGCATCTGAAAAAACGTAATATAATAGTAAATGGTTCCTGATATGATATAATATACAGGTTTGGTGAGAGCTGTCTGCCAGCCAAAATTAGTAGACAGCAATTTACGTCCTAAATCTTGGTCATAAGAAAAAACAAGAGCAAAGACTAACTCAACAACCAATCACAGCAGACTTAGCGTGGGCGGATACCATTAGCAGATATATGGTCTGACCTTCAAAGAAATGGCACAAGAGATGAAAGAATAGCCTTCAGTAGGAAAACAACCAATCAGAAGACATTACACCTCTCTGCTAACAATAACGTTAATAATAATGTACATAAAAATATATATAAATATCTCTTGATTTTCTCGATAAACGATCTATTGCCTTACCCTTGTCTTCTGTCGTTACAATGTGATGTGCAGCCAATTAGATGAGTTTTTGTATCCACATTGGTTTTATATGTCTACAGGTAGTCCTGTGAGAAATTGGGACCAGCTTTTACAGTATCTAAGAGATATATACCATGCATAATTCAATTTTATTACGTATATGCCCAAATAAACGCCACTTTTGTACTTGAAGAATATAACTGGTAGATGCAAGGTCATTTAGCTTTGGTGTCTCTTCTTTCCTGTTGCCCTTTATCCTTTAACATAAACCTAATAACGTCTTTGGGCTGTAAGCGGCTGATGAGAAGCCAGGAAAATTGTTGTTCTGGCTTTATTCAAAAATATTTTTCAAAAAAAACTCAGGAAACTACTATAAAATTATTTTTTAAACTATTTTATGCATCTTCTTACTTTGAATATTTACAGTTAACTGCTACTTGATTTAAACAAACTCGAGCTGTCTGACCAATTAAATCGTTACGTGGAAACAATGATACAGTCGGCAATAGACCAATACGTAAACATTCATTAAAGTGTTCATCGTCCAGATTATGATGATTAGATGAAGAATTTGTCTTTATTGGTAAAAGATTTATCTGCAGATTACAGAAAATAACCAGAGTTCAGATTGGAATTTATGTCAACCGACGACACACATTATAAAACAGATTAAGAAAGTGAATAAAAAACACAGAAGGTTTCAATATACCGGAAAATATTCATTAAGATATCTAGAAAAAACCAACAACAAAAAAAAGCATGCAAAGAATATCCTTTTCGATAATTTCCGCTTCTGGTTCTACAATTATATATATATATATATATATATATATATATATATATATATATATAAGCAGAATATTCTAGAATAGACGTCAGTAACAATATTGGTGTTATTTGTCTAAATAATATCGATTTCTTAAGTGACACACAAAAAAGGCCCTATTCTTACTATTTCACTTCCTCGATGATAACCTAAGTGAGATACTAAATTTAATAATTTATTAATTCCCATCCTTCGATCAAATTCACAATGGAATTAGAAAACGATTCAAAGATTCCATTTCTGGACGTGGAATTAACAAGAAGAGATGATGGAACCCTGAAGAGGCCCATCCACAGAAAAACGACATGGAACGGCCAACTAACGCATTTCTATAGCTGGATACCTCTGAGCCGAAAACGAGCCCTCATCAGCGCACTAACCCATCGCGTTAGAAAAATCTGCAGCAACGATTGCATGGAAGAGGAGCTCCTATTCCTCAAAAATATCCTGGCTGAAAATGGCTAACTGACACGTTTTGTCAAAAAGAACATGAAACCTAAACCAAAAAGAGAAGAATGGGATTCAGCGCCAAAGAAAACACTGTATCTAAATCTGAATTTCAAGGGAGATTTGGCAGCTGATATTCTGAAGAGGAGAATATCCAGCTCTTAAAGAAGACCTTCCCTACAGCAACACTAAGAGTGACATTCCCTAGCCGTCCAATACTTCGAAATAACACGAAGGACAAACTCTCGCCTATGACCAATTCAATGTGCATATACCAGTTCACCCGCTCGTGTGGAGCTAGGTACACAGGTCGTTGTATGCGCGTCCTTTCAAAACGTGTTAGAGAACATTACCCAGCGTGAGTGCAGAGAGGACGCACCGGTTCAATCAGAAGTGCGATAATTGAACATCTGATCAACACCTCCCACAACATCTCAACTGATTCTTTCAAAGTGATTTACAGAGTCAACAGAAACCTACCAAAAGCAGTATGTTTCCGACTTCTTTGTACTGCAGAAGCCCTCGCAATATGCATCGACAAGCAGGAGCTGTGTGTGTTCAAAAGAAATTAGTCCAACCTCTACAACCACCATGGACTTGGTTTGGTATGTTCCCTTTGCTTCCGTTTTTTTCTTTCTTCTTCTTTTTTCGTTCTCTCTTTTCTTTTTGAGCATTTTTTGGTTTGCTGTGTGTCTAGTCCTTAAGTCCCTCAGTTTTCATTAAATTCACCCCATTTTTTCAGTTATAGAAACAGTTATTTTAAGTTTGTTTCCATGCTTTTCCTGTTCACATTTATAATTCGTTTAAAATAACTATTTTACAGTTATATCTTAATCCTGGGCAATTTTTGTGTTTCTATGCCTCTTGTAATCTATATTCACACCTCCTAACTAACATTTCAAGTTGAAAGTTTTGATTTCAATTTGTTTCCATGCTCATTTTGTTCACATCTGCAATTCGTTCTCTCCCTGCGTTTCTAAGCCTCTTATAATTCATATCAAATTGAAAACGAACTGTAATTCCACTGATCTCACTTTACAAATCGGCAGTATTTAAAAAACACGAATATTGTTACTGACTTCTATTCTAGATTATTCTATATATATATATATATATATATATATACCTTTGATATTTGGTTTGAACGATCTTCATTGTTATTTTGACTTTCAATATGACCTTTTAAGTTGAACCAAGTCTATATTTTTCTCACCCCCTAACTCTTTGTTATATATACTGAGATTTTGTAAATTGCGGTTTAATAATACTTTGAGAAAGCTATTAGAAGCATTAAATAGCGAAACGTCAGTAAAAACAATCTCGTTTTGTTTTTCATTCATTGGGAAATACAAAAACCTCTATTATAATGATTAACCGTAAGCAAATCAACAGCCAATCACAGAGGAGTTAAAGTGTGGAAATATGATTCACAGATATACTTGACTTGATGCTCTGAAAAACGGCCACAAAAGCAATAGCAGAATGACCTTCGACAAAAAAAAACATCCAATCAGAAGAGGTTGCTTCTCCGCTAACAATAACGCTAATAATAATGCGCATAACAAATCAATGCCTCTTGATTTCCTGAATATAGGATCTATTGCCTGGCTACTGTCTTCTGTGGTTTCAATAACATAAGATTCTTGGCTGGTTTACCAATAGCTAGAGTTCCTTGTTGGTATTATATTTTGCCCATCCCAATTTCAGCGTGGACTGTCACTCTTCTGCGTTATTTAATGGAAAGATTTAAATCATGATCAATTTAACTTCAGTGACTGAGGTACTCCGGGTTTCAAGGATAAAATAATACACACACGTACGCAGAATTACACTGCTCACTAATCATATATACGGCAACAAAAAAAAACTAAAATTAAGCCCAACTTACCTGTGATACAGTACAAAACATTTCGAGTAACAAACATGTAGATATCGAATTTATTTTAATATCTTTCAATTGATTTTTCTCTTTAGCCTTCGATGAATCTTCATTCTTCACAGATTCTATAGCTGGCCATGATTTATACGTGTTTTGTTTGGTGATATCCACATCGTTGCTTTCAACAGTGTTGTCAGTATTTTCATGCAGATGAGTAGGCAGTTTTAATATCTCTGAATCGAAGTATAAGCTCATAAAGCTTCTACACAGACATAATAAACAACGAGAACAGAAAAAAAAATCAAGATGAGTAATGTTGATGAATGTTGAGTAATAAAGAGTATGCGGAAAAAACCAACAAATAAAATACGAGCTTGCCTTGTAACCAGAAGGTCTTGAGTTCGAACCGTAGTGGGTGCATACCGCTGAAGAATCCCAAACTACGACGAAACAGCCCACTGTCCAGTACTCCCAGGTTTTCCAATGGTTCTCTAACCAATGTCAACTCATGATGAAATCCTGTAACCAACCGAATCCCTACAGACCGACACTTGAATATCGATGAGATGCTCACTAGCGACTTGCTCTATTCAGGAAGATAGTTACCTGGGGTTCTAGTAAGAAGTCGTAACCAGTAGGGTGCAGCAGGTCGGGTGTGAGGACAAAAACTCGCGCAAACGATGACATTGGCTAGCGCCAGTCGCGCTATGTCGTGAATTGGCAGAAGTTAGAATTCATGGGCTGGCCATTAGATCGGGTCCCAGTGGCTTAATGGTATACGACCTCGCTAGCCTTGTAACCAGAAGGTCCTGGGTTCAAACTCTTGAGGTGGGTACGTACTGTTGAAGAGTCCCAGACTAGGTTGACGAAACAGCTAGCTGCCCAGTACTCCCAGCTGGTTTTCCAATGGTTCTCTAACTAATGTCAGCTCATAATGAAATCCTCTAGCCAATCAAATCCCTACAAACCAACACTTGAAACAAAATATAGACTGAAGATATCAGAAGGTTAGTTACAGTATATAATGAGACGAAAATACAAGGAGAGAAATAGCAAAGTAGTTAAGGAACAACTGTATGAAAACATCTAGGGATAATTACCAACAGTATTCAAATGAGGTTTTAGAAATCACCTTATATCACCTTCAGAATGAGAAAGAATGTGACTACAGCACTTTCGCTACTGATTCCAACTGACAGCCATGTCTTATAACGTGTCAGCCCATTTTAATAAGGGAGTTATGACGAAACCCTAATTATCCTTCAGACAACAGCGTTACACATCACATGTGCTCACAATCTTTCCTCTTTATCTGTCTAGCCACTGAGATGATATTCGCAGCACACATATCGAATCCATCACAGTATCGAGATGATATTATCACCAGAAAGACGATCTGCATTATATCCAAACACACGCCGTTGGGCTTGAGAACCACTAACGCGGTGACACCAGTGGCTTCAAAAGCAACGCTATGAGAAACAGTGATGATCTGACACTCAGATTTGTGGCACAGAGACGTACGGTTTAACAGGATTAGGATTAGAAGCAAGACTAAAATGACTGAAGCATTGTAAACCCAACTTTTGGAGGCTATAGGTTAACCTAAGGTTGGTGAATTCGAGAGTTCTCGTGTTTTCCACTGTGACTCAGCAGCTCTCAGCTGGATGATGTGAGTGGTAACCAACTATTCATATCAATCCATCAATCAATCGATCAGAAGTATATACCATCATGTAAAAATTTCACCCGTCAGACAACCTCCAGTAATCTCACAAGACTACTTGGATTCGTGAATGTTTCGAAAAGTTATAGTGATTTATATGCAATAGTGAGTGCAGACACGGGACCCTGTCAAGCCAACAAGAGTACCTTACACCTAAAAGGTGTACAGCAGGAAGTAAAAGCCGTGTATAAAGTTGTTCGGTAATAAATAATAAAAGATATAAATTAAATAAACAAATTATCAAACTTACAGGCAAACGGTTTTACGTTCACTTAGTGATATTTTATCTAAAGATAGAATGAAAAGTAAGGGGAAACGACATCTCAGGTTTTAGAACAAAATAAAGGATAGATAGATATGTATGGCTAAAGTGTATGTGGCGTATCCTAAGGTTTGTGGAAGCCCTAACTGACAATTAAGAAGCCTAAACCACCTTTAAGCGTTCAAAGCAACAATTCGTCATCACACTAAACCACCTTCCTCGGTAAACAAAACTGTGTTTTCATTTCAATTGTTAAATTTCATCATGAACCGACATCACAGCTGTTTTATCCTATTTCGGGACTCTCCAGCATTAGGCACCATCAAACACACCGAGGATCAAATGCAGGACGTTAAGGTTAAAAGACCAAAGTCTCTAACTGATATCAGTCTGTGACTGAATTCGTTAGCGACTGGTTGCAGGACAAAATTGACTGGAATCTTGCAGTGAGAAATCGTGACCACTGAGGTTCGCAAGTTTGGGTGTAAGGGAAAATACTCTCCGAGGATATTGGCTACAAGTTGCGCTATATTCGCGAACTGACAAAGCTAGAATTCATAGGCCATTGCATTCTTCTCCAAGCGTTTGAATCGCCATCGAGCTTCACCTCGTAAACTGAAGGTCCTGGGGTTTATCTCTGGTGGGATGATGGGTGTGTATTGCTGAAGAATGCCAAACTAGGACTAAGCTGTCAATATCGCCATTAGTTGCCAAATATGTTCGAACTGCCTTTTAACTACTATCTATATAACAGTAGTATATGATAGATCATAAAATAAGTAGTATGAATAGAAATAAATGAATTTCATCATCATCAAATGTTTGTTTGCAAGGATTTAAATAATTTCAGAATTAGATTATAGAATCCCTGAAAGCCAAACAGCGTTGGACATCTGTTTTGTCTTAGTTTGGAGCTCTGCATCCATTCGCATCTATGAGCATAATACGCCAAAAGTTAAGTGTGTCAAATTGACTCCTGGACCCCCCCAAAAAATATCGTATAAAACATTTGTGTTTCTGTAACGACATTGGGGACGTTATCGAGTAGTTTGATAGATACTATTCAGAGAAGTGGAAACTACTTTTCAGTTTCAAAAAATATCGTCATAATAAAATCAGTATAACAGGCAGAAATGCATACAGTAAGCATTATCATTATTATTATTGCTATCATTCCCTTAGGTGGCGAGTAGAGAATAGAGTTTCAACAGAACACCTCCATTTCATCTTGTTCACTGAAGTCCTTCTTAGCTGGCTTCACGATTATCCATAAACTTCAACCTTCTTCTCTTCGCACGATCTCCCCCATAACACCCTCGCGCCCACCCCGCCAATTTTGCTTCTTCCCATTCGGGTTACATTCGATAATTAGATACAATTCAGGTTGACATGCCGGATCCTTGTCCAGATGCTTCGACGATGTCTGGTCATGAAACTTGAAGGTGGATGGTGACCACCAGTGGAATCTACCAGACTGCACATTTCGTTCTGTGTGGAACTATTCAGTTGAACGTGCCTGTATTTCTCAGTGAATGATGATGGTGTTCCCACCGAGGCTCGAACCCAGTACCTTTAGTTTTAAACACCACGGAGTTATTCACTAGACCAAATAGGCCAAGAGAGTCACTTCTTGTGCAACGGGTTTTATCAATTATTTAATCCAATCTAGATTTTCGTGTCCATTGATTGGATTGGTGTCTGTCATGGTGCAAATGGATAACAGTCTGGCGTTTGACACAATGGGCACTGGGTTCGAGCTTCGATGGGAACATCACAATCACTAACTGGGGAAGGGGGACTGCAAATACATCCAGTTGACGAGTCCCAAGCAGAGGACGAAATACGTATCCTGGATTCCACTGCTAGTAACTATCCATCTATTGACTTCGATAACCTGTCTGGGATATGATGTCATTCAATGGTCTATACTCATTAAACGTCAGATTCATCTTCAGTTCCTTCAAACTTATTTGTCGAGTGACTTGTTCCTATCTGATATGATGCCAGGGTTTCATTTTATTGTTGTTGTTGTTGTTGTTTATCCTTTCCGGCTGGCAATTTGGTCTTCTGTATAGAGCGGAAGCAGCTAATAATAAAAATCTATAGAAGCCTATTGAAAATACTTTTGGTGATGTGCTGAGTCCAAATCTCACTAACAACCAATGGGATTTAATATTTCATGTCAATTGAAGATAACTGACTGGACAGTAAAAATATGCAATATTCATTTGTTTGAAGCATCCACCTGTGGAACATTTGGACAGGCTTAATTCCCAACCAGTAAAAACCATTGACTCTAGGAAACAAGGAACATGAAACAATATGTGAACTGGATATACTCACAAATGAAATCAAAGGAATGAAGCTCTCCATGATGTTCGATTAGCTTGTAAGAGATTATACCCTTAAATGAAACAATGAATGAGATGTGCTGATTTCAGACCTTGCACCAAGTATGTATGACACAATCTCACAGTGAACAATTTAAATCTTAAATAAAATCTTACAGACCAACAACAGATTTCAGTGAAAAATGCTTCAAATGAACTCCACATCTACGAATAGAAATGTTACTTGTATACTTTTATGTAATGACATGAAGAAATTAGCTGGACGTATTATTGTAACTAAATATCACAGTATTTTTGATTGCATACTAGTCAGTAACTAGTGTGATGTGTCTAGTCAGTCCTATCTTCAGTGAAGACTGAATTCTATCAGTGAAGCTTACAATGTGGCCACCATACTAGGTGGCTCGCCATTACGGTGCACTGTGAAATGGTGGTATTAGATGGTTGGAGGCAATCGGCCACAGGAAGCCTTGGACCTATGTTTCGTGCTAGTTGGCACCGAAGATAGGACTAGACACATTACACTAGTTACCGACTAGTGTGCAATCAAAAATACCCAATGCAGTCCTACATAAGGTCGATCGCGAGCCCAAATAGCTCAGTGGTAACGTCTCTGACTGCCGGCGGGACTGGGTGACGCGGATTCGAATCTCAGAAGGGACATGAGTTCATTCAAGGTTGCGAATACGCCTTGCTGATGAGTTCCAACTAGCACGAAACCTAGGCCCCAGGAAGGCTTCCTGTGGCCGATTGCCTCCAACCATCTAATAAATATCACAGTTACACTAGATTCATCACGAGCTAATCATCCACATGAAACTATGGATTAACGCGCATAAAACCCGCCAAGTTAAACTTTAAGCACCAATAACTAACTACCAATGGAGTGCGACCGCACCAATGACTTTGAAACGCTCACTGAGTCAGTTAGTGAAACCTGGCAGATAATGCTGTCATCATCAATAAAATAGGCTCATCGAAGTGTTATGTTATCTGCTAAATGAGATAACTGGCAAGTTTCAGCTTAGGTGTTTGGGAAAGATTAAGTTACGCTTTAAGCCAAGAACAAGCTAGGGTTAGGTTAACCTAATGAAGGCGACATTAGGGCTGGTTTCAGTTGGACTACAGTTAGTTTAGAGATATTTCCACGCTAGGCGGTTAGGTTCAGGGAATATTAGGGCTAGAAGACCTAAATAATTACATGCATAGAATGTGGTTAAATTTCTCTGTTGATATAAGAATAGAAAATGTGATTAAAATTTATTTTGATAAAATTTCGGGTGTTATACCGTAATATTTACTGATGACCACGTTTCGAGTACAGTTTATTGCTCATTAAATATTACTGCATAACATTATATGAGGCTCTATCAAAATAAATTATACTCACAATGGTATTATACTCTGTTGACACTCCAACTTAAAACTGAGAGCTATATATATGGTCTATCCACAAAAGTGCCTCCTTCACATGATTGGTGCGTTCGAGGTCATTCGTTGTGATTGGTAGTTAATGGTGCTTCAAGTTTAACTTTGCCTACAACCGCATATTAAGACCTCTGTCTGACCTGAACTGTTCATAGCCATAAACGAACAGTAATCGACAGACGGTGTATATTTATGACCTGATTACAGTATTTTGACATCTAATATTGCAAAGCAACAGACAGCAAGTGTACAGAAGTTCACACAAGGCTCTTCCGTAAGCACGATAATGTCTGTTGACTTGACAAGAACGTATAAAATGTGAGAGGGAAGCAACATCTGTAAACGACAACAGTCAGAGATTGCCTCACACTATGCAAGCTACTGTGTAGTCACAAACCTACTGTAAAGAATCCCAAGATCCATAGCCCGAACCTGACTGTCTGTCTGTGTGTTTTCGATATAGAACTTTGCACTGATGTGCACCAGTTCAAGTCGCCACACTCACGCCATGTAGCACACAAAGAAAGAGAAGAAACTACAAGAAATGCATAATAGAGACAGTAAACAGAGGTGTGAGACAAAGGAATAGTAGTAACGAAGAACAATATAGTTTCACTGGAAATCATAAGTCATAGGGAGTAGATGCATCTGCGCTAGCCATTGAGAACGATGAGTTTCAGCCATATCACCAATTGTTTCCAGCCTTCATTGGTTTTTACCGTCCCGAGGACCCCAACCAGGAAGCCAGTCTACACCTTTCTACATGAATGGCTTAAACTAACTCAATGGGGATTTCATTGACTGATGAGGCCATATTTTGCTTTGACCGCCGCTAGCTCTTTTCCAACCTCATCGACCCTATGTCAGCTAACGTTGCCCGCCGGTCGAGGAAGGCGATGACTACACATACGTAACACATATCCAGCAGGTCCTGCTGCTTTGCCTTGTTTCAGATTAGTGACAGGTTTAGTAACCTCAGTTAGGGACGGTGGACCTGTGTCTGTACCTCGTTGGGGGAGGTGTTGGATGTTCGGCAGGTTGAGCATGGCATCTGTACCTGAAAAAGCGTTATAACGTGAAATGTATGCATAATTGATTCAGTGGCTTAAACACTCAACAACCATAAAAAAAAACAACAGGGTTTCCAAGATCGAGTCCTGCTACACTTATTTCAGCCTGAGGAATTGGCTAGTAATCATCAGCTCACACACACACACATACACACTGATACATGAGAAAATAATAAATCCATAAGTTTTGACCACCGCAATCCTTACAACACTTCACTAACAATGAGTAACAACATATGGTCGGTTTATCCTAACCGAAAAACACTCCCTTATATAACTGCATCAAGTCATCTATCTATCTATCTACCTCAAAATGATAAATAAATAACTCACCATTGATCATATAACCCGCAATACCATATACAATAAGTAAAAGGCAAGAAGCATGAAAAGAATGATCATTTGTATCCATAATATCACGACATGTATCCAGAAATAAGTCGATTGTTTCTCCTGTAAAAGCAAAATACACAAAAAGACAATGTGGGGTTTCACCAACTTATTGACTGACTGACTGACTTCTACACGAAATTGCAACAGTTCAGGGTGTCACTTTCCGTGAAGTAAACAAAGTTGCAGAAAAAAATAGAGAAAATGGGAATTCAAAACAATAGTAACACGAAAAAGTATGAGGGTAACGAAGAGTGAATGAGTCTACGCCACTCACTACTCAGAACGACTTTTGAGTCGCATTGTAACGTGAAAAGATGAAAGACTTGGTTAAGGAATGTTTATTGGTAATTTAGTATCTCTATATCTAGTGAAATTATATGCACCTTATCTTCAAATCACCATTTGTGCACAGATCTTCTGTGTTGTGGTACTTCTGCGCTTCCTTCCCCTGCTGTGCTTTTTTGTGTTCCTGTCACGTCTCCCATGTATCCAACTCCAAAACTCCGCTGTTGTATCATTGGCTTTCTTTGACTGGCATCAAATCTATCTCCCTGCTATTATATGCTTTCCTATATCGATAAATATCTCTTTCTATACTACTCACAAATCTTATCAGTAGTACACGCCACAATACCACCAAATGTTTCCTGACAATAGCTCCTCTTGGTCAAAGCGATTAACGACATAGTTTACATAAATTCACTCCTTATAGTCTTTTATACTCTATAAAGCTTCCCTAGTTGGCACATCTATTTATCTTCAGTGTAGTATCATTACTTTGGGGATGGTGACTAGCAGTGAAATTCGGTATGCGTATTTCGTCCTATTTGGGACTCGTCATCTGGATGAACCTGCATTTTCCAGTGAGCCTCGGTGGGAACATCATCACTCACTGGGGAATGCAGGTACATCCAGTTGCTGACGAGTCCCAAATAGGACGAAATGCGCATTCTGGATTCCACTACTAGTCATCACCCACAAATTAAATTCTAATTAAATACCCAGACATCGTCGAAGCATCTGCACAAGAAGCCAACAGGCATGTCAACCTGAGACCGAGCACTTCGGTTCAATCATCGACGGGAAAATCTAAATTCAACTGAAATAGTATCATTAGGTTTCAAATTGAATTAATCTACTTCTATGCATACTTTTACATTGATTTGTCTGTCAGTCAACAAATTAAACTGAACACCTTTTATCATATATGCTATCGCTCGCACGCAATTCGTCTAGTCTTTTTTTGATAAAGTGAAAACGAACACATTTGTAGGATGAAAGTATCTCAACTTTTTTTTATTTCACAGCCTTTCTTCAGCTGTGAACAATCTGAAGCATGACATAAGTTATTACACTTTTTATAGTTTGGTTTGTAAGGGTTAGTTATGTTTTTTACGAGTTGATCACGGATTGATATCAGTTAGAGAACTATTGAAAACCACGGAGTACTGGACAGCTGCTGTTTCATCAGTCTAGTTTGGGAATCATCGACAGTACGCAGTCATTGGGATTCGAACTCGGGACCTTCCGGTTACGATGCAAGCTCGTATGGTATACGAGCTTTTTTTATGCCACGAAATGCTCATTAGTACAAGTCTAAAATAGATAAGAATTCTCTGCTCATTTCAACGCCAGATGTACTTATCAATTCAAATGGCTGACACGGGACATACAGTCAAAACTAATCTAGCCTACACAGAATTACCAACATACACAGAAAACCAGTAGGGTGCAACATGTCGGGTGTGAAGACAAATACTCGCCGGAGACATTGGATCAGGGTCACGCTATTTCGTGAATTAGCAGAAGTTAGAATTCATGGACTGACCATTGGATCGGGGGTCCCAATGGCTGAATGGTATACCACTTCGCCTCGTAACCAGAAGGTCATGGGTTCGAACCGTGGCAGTGGGTGCGTATTGCTGAAGAATCCCAAACTAGGACGAAACAGCTATCCAGTACTCCCAGGTTTTCCAATGGTTTTCTAACCAATGTCAGCTCATGATGAAATCCTGTATACACAGAAAACCTTGAATACATCATTTTACCAAAGCTGTGATTAATCTCACACTATCCCGGGTAACCAGACGTTTACGTTCTGTTTCTCCAGTCTTGTTGAGTCACAGTTTTTATTTGATTACAACTCATTGAGCTGAACTCATTATTAATCTTCCTATTTACTTAACTGTTTGTTTACGTGATAATTTTTACTTCGAATTATTACTATTTCTTTTCACTCTCTTCAATGTCCTATCGCATTATGTGTAGAGAAACTCTGGTTGTTAGATATTCACCATCTGGCATTTATATCACTTTTTGTACAACAATTATGCCTTTTATGTTGAAATAACTTTAGAAGTATTGTAACAACAGAAGACAAGGGCCAGAGAAATGACCGTTTATTTACGAAATCAACACATATTTATAGATTTCCGTGTACATTATTATAGATTATTGTTAGCAGAAAAACAGTCTTCTGATTGATTGTTTCTCATTGAAAGTTAATCTTTCATCTCTTTGTGGCTCTTTTTTGAATGTCAGAATATCTATCTGCAAATTGTATCCGCCTACGCAAATTCTGCTGTGATTGGTTGTTGAATCAGTCTTTGTTCTTATTTTTCTCACGACCAATATGAGGGAAGTAAACATTGACGTAAATTACTGTCTACCAACTTTTGGCTAGCAGCCGACGCCCACCACAGTATGTCATTTTTTAGCCTGTTAGTAGTTCAGGAAGTGCCGTCGAATAAAAGAAACAACAACATGATAATCAAGTGTTGGTTTGCAGGGATTTGATTTGATTGGTTACAGGATTTCATCATGAACTGACATTGGTTAGATAACCATTGGAAAACCACCAGGGAGTACTGGACAGCCACCTAGCTGTTTCGTCAGCCTGGTTTGGGACTCTTCATCAGTAGCCACCCACTAACAGGGGTTCGAACTCAAGACTTTTTTTGGTTACAAGGCTAGTAAGCTCGTAAATCACTAAGCCACTGCGATCCGCCGAACCAATGGTCTTTTCATCCTGCAAGTACTTTCGTTCTCTCCTTGTTCAAACTAATTAAGGCAAGTGGGTGTGCGATATTCTGATTGTTTTATTGTTCTTATTCTCTTGGATTCCAAGTGGAACATAGAACTCTAGAAGCAAATCTCCATTTAACTCTGGTCTCTGTAGTCTGTTTTAGTTGACACCACGACTGACCATCTGCTTTTGTTTCTTCCTCCTCCTCCCCCTCACATGATCTCCTCCTGCATGTCACCCTCAGACGTCCCCCAGCTCGTCGATTCTCATTCGGATTTCAGTCGAGGACCTGGTTCGCGACTTCATTCAATGGTTTCTCCTGCTCACTGAGACGAGCTCACTATTAAAGTTTCAGATTTACTGAATTAAATTATTTTATCTATTTTATAATGTTACTTTAATAATCATCCCTACTCTCCTGAACTCTACATCGTAATACACATCAATTAACTCCATTGTTCTATCTTGTAATTTATCTCAAGTTTTCCTTATTTCCAAGCGGTCTGAACTCTACCCTCCCCACCTTTTTGTCCAATTAGTTACTCCCTTTTAACACTGAGTACTCCTCGTCTACTTACATCATCTATGAAATTATGTTGCTCAATCACTTTTGTATGTATAACTTGAAATCATTGTATAAAAGTATGTTCAGACACACCACACCGTTTTGTGACATATAACTGATTTTAATTGGTGGATGGTGACTAGCAGTGGAATCCAGGATAAAGCGCATTTCGTCCTATTTGGGACTTGCTGGTGGCTGGATGTACCTGCATTTCTCAGTGAGTGATGATGTACCCACGGAGGCTCGAACCCAGCACTCCTAGTTTCAAACGCCAAAGTGTTATCCACTAGACCACGAGAGCCACCTCTTGTGCAACGGGTCATATTAATTATTTAATTGAATTTTAGATTTTCCCGTCCATTGATTGGACCGAAGTGCTCGGTCTCAGGTTGACATGTCCGTTGGCTTCTTGTGCAGATGCTTCGACGATGTCTGGGCATGTAATTAGAATTTACTTGGTGGATGGTGACTAGCAGCGGAATCCAAGATAAAGCGCATTTCGTAGCTCAAGTGGTCTTCGGTGTTTGAAACTATGGGAACTGGGTTCGAGCTCCAGTGGGAACATCATCACTCACTGAGAAATGTAGGTACATCCAGCCACCAACGAGACCCAAACAGCATGAAATGCGCTTTATCCTGGATTCCACTGCTAGTCGCCATCCACCAATTACATACTAATTAAATGCTCAGACATCGTCGAAGCATCTGCTCAAGAAGCCAACAGACATGTCAACCTGAAACCGAACACTTAGGTTCAATCAATCGACGGGAAAATATAAAATTCAGTTAAAATATAATTGATTTTACTTAGGATGTATGCAGCGTTGACGACAACCCACGACGAAATAAAACGAGCTCATATTATTCTACAAATATGTTTTGCTCTTTCTTTATTCTAACTAAAAAAGGGAACTGGTTGTATGAAAGGTCTCCTCAGCATATGTTCCCCATTTGATAAAAGAAACATGATATTTAAGTGTTGGTTTGCAGGGATTTGATTTAATAATCTGAGCTGAGATCGGTTAGAGAACCATTGAAAAACCCACCAGGGAGTACTGGAAAGCCACCTAGCTGTTTTGTCAGCCTAGTTTGGGTTTCTTCATCAGTACTCACCCACTGACAAGGGTTCGAACTGAAAACCTTACGGTTACAAGGCTAACGAGCTCAGAGACCGTTAAAAGCCACTAAGACCAGATCCAATTGTCTTTTTTTTCATCCTGCAAATATGTTCGTTCTCGCCTTGTTCAAACTAAACATGGGAACTGTTGGCACAATTCCACATGGAATGTAGAACTTTAGCAGTATATCTCCATATTACTCTGGTCTCTGTAGTCCGTTTTAGTTTGACTCCACGATTACTGATCAGCTTTCATTACCTCCTGCTCACCACAAGATCTCCTTCAAACGTCCCAAACTCATCATTTCTCAATCGAATTTCAATCGAGAACCTGGCTGGCGACTTCACTCAACGGTCTCCTAAGAGCATTCTACCCCCCCCCCCCCTCCATTCGATATTATTATTAAGATTTAGTGTGACGGTCTATTGTGTTCATTGTTATCAGTAAAATAAAACAAAAAACGAAACAACAACAACATATAAATCTCAGTATTTTTGATAAACATACTTTGAGAGGCTAGCTTCCCAGTTATCGCTTGAATCAATAACAGTGTTGAATTGTCACGAAAATATTGAAATGGTTTCCGAAATAAATTCGATGCTCGTATGATGGTACTATTTTGTATATTGTTAACTGAAAAATGATTAAAAAAAAAAGAAAGCATATTTTACAAATCTAAAATAAGATTACTGCAAATAATGTACCACAGTAAACAATCCCTCTCCCACCCCCACAAAAGAAATTCAACTATCTATGGCTGTAGTGCCACATTTGACAAGTGGCCACTGTTGAGCTTCATTATTTTTGAGTAAAGCTGTTTGGTTTAAGGCACTGAATACAATGTCTTTAGTTAGTTAAATAAGCAACTAAGTTTATCAGTAACGATCCCAATATTATTATTATTGATGTGGTTTATTAACTGATTCTGACCACTTCTGTCCGTCTGTTTGTCTATCTGCTTTCGACATAGAACTTTGCACTGATGTGCAGCAATTCAAATCGCCACACTCCCTGGTATCACACAAAGCAAGAAAAGAAACTACAAGAAATGCATAATATAAACAGTAAGCAGAGGTGGCGTCGGTGGCATAGCGGTTAGGACGCTCGCCGACCATGAACATGGTCCGGGTTTCTATCCCCGGCCGATGCACTCCTTAACCTCGCTGATCGAGAAATGCTGGTAAGGAGGAAAGGTTGAGCATGAGGCTAGCAACCCCATCCTGTAGAATAATCCACACTGCTACAGAAACTTCAAGCCCTATGTTCCACTGGGAACGTGAAGGAAAAAAACAGAGGTGTGAGACAAAGGAATAGTAATAACGAAGAACAATATAGTTTCATTGGAAATCATAAGTCATAAGGAGTGAATACATCTGAGCCAGCCATTGAGAACGATCACTTTGAGCCACATCACCAATTGTTTCCAGCCTTCATTGGTTTTTAACGTCCCGAGGAACCCAAACAGTCAGGAAGTCTACACCTTCCTACGTCGCAGGCTCACACTAACTGTTGTTGATTCCATTGACTGGTGAGGCCATATTTTGCTTTGACCGCCGCTAGCTCTTTTCCAACCTCATCGACCCTATGTCAGCAAACGTTGGCAGTCCGTCGAGGAAGGCGATGACTACACATACGTAACACATGTCCTAACCATCTCAGTCGATGTAATTTCACAACCACATCGTCGACTGATTTCCCCTCCAACCTACCTACCACTCGACCACCGATTTCTAACCTCAATTTTGCTCACCTTATTATACCATTTCACTCGGGAGATAGAGCGCAGGCTCCTATGATCAAAGACAGCTAATCTTTTCATGTCTTCCACTCTCAATAGGCATGTCTTGCTCACAGCCATAAACGAGGACGGAACGAACTGCTGGGCAGTACACCCACCCTTTGGTCGATAGCCAGCCAGATATCACCTCTATTAAGCCAGAAACCGCGTAAACTGGCAAATGAGAAACTAGCCCTCTTTATCCGTGCTGAGATCTCGTCAAAGATCAACGCGCTGGCGCTGGCTGATGGTACTTCCCAAATAAGTGAAACGGTCAACGTGCTCCACCAACCACTTTACTCCCTATTTCTAAACTAGGAGTCAGTGTAGTCCAGTTCAGTCCTGTAACATCATCTTACATTTGGCGGGAGCGAATTGCATGCCAAATATTCGTAGATTGCAGCTCAAGGTGTTCAGAAGACTCCGCTTCATTTTGTCAGCGTCCTCGCCTAGAAGGACTATATCGTCTGCATATTCTAAGTCAACGAGGTTATTACCTCCCTGGTAGTAAGTCAATCCCTGAGTTTCTGAAGTGAGTTAGGGTTAAGTCCATTGGTACATCTATGATGAAATTGAATAGAAATGGGGATAATGGGCATCCTTGACGGACACCACTAGTCGTCACCACTTCAGGTGACATCTCGTCTTAAGCCCTTACCTGGCTGCATGAGTTCGAGTAGAGTGAGTGGCTTGATCAGTGCAATGTATTTTCTCGGAATTCCCTTTACAGCCAAACATGGCAAGAGTACCTCTCGGTGGACAGAATCGAATTCCGCCTTTAGGTCAAGAAATATAATGATTGTTGGACGCTGGTAAGAATGCCTATGTGTTCTACAATCTGTCGGAAGGTGAAGATATGACCCCTTACGTTATAGAATATCTGGGCTGAAGGATTACACGCCATCTATTGGACATTGATCATAATTGTGGACAAATTGATGGTGTTCAATATAATTATCAGGAGGTGAAAGAAACATAGCTGGCTGAATTTTGCTGAAGAAGCAATCACCATTAAAATGTGAAAGTCAAGACTATGTAAGTAGAAAGAGACAACTTACTTAACTTTTGCAGTTGCGTGCCCCACGTATATGCAAAACGCAACCTGATCCATTCACACTGAGCCACAGAATCCGTAGGATATGCACAGCCCTGATACTATGGATGAAGAGCTAAATACTCTGAAGAGAACCCTCCTAGAAAAATGGCTACCCAGAATGTTTCATCACAAAATCTATGAAACCTATACCACCACCAAAACCGCCCACACTTTCTGCTTACAAAAAAACTGCTCTACGTGAATCTACAATTCACTGGAGATTAATCAGCAGAAATACTGAAGAAAAAACTTCTTCGTGGCTGAACTCCGACTAACCTTCCCTACGAAACTAATGATTCACGTGAACGTGAAGCATAAGCTACCACTGTTGGCTGGCCTCATCAATATGAAGCTACCAATTCACCTACTTGTGTGGAGTGAGCTAAGTATGTCGGGTGTACCAAGCGTTCGCTATCTAAAATTATCATCAAACACTTACTCTCGTGGTTTTATAAAGGAAAAAAAAGATTCCGCCGCCACATCTCTATCATGAAACACCTGTTCGAATCAGGACACCAGTCAAACCTACAAAGTAACTTCAAAGTTACCTGAAGAATACATGGGAATCTCGCTAAAAGAAGAGTATAAATCAAACTTCTTCAAACAGTACAGAAGCAAAGGCCTGAACTCTGCATACAAAAGAAGAAGTTTGTTCAGTCATTAAATCTACACTACACCTGATATATATCTTAACACCAGAAACGTAAGTTTTGGTTTCATCTTTCTTTTGCTTGCTTGTCTCGAATTTGAATAAAGCAAGAACAACAACAGTGGTGGTTTGTTCAGAATAATATGGAATACAATCATTGCTTATTTCGTTGGCTTCTCATCAACTCAGCTGCTCGCTTACAGCCTAAATAAATTATGAGGTTTACGTACAGAAAAGTTTTAACATACTTGCAAATTTTGCTTTCATGATGTCAGTTGACAGAAAGTTCCACAATAAGTGAACAGTGCTCAGAAAATTGCGCCTACATAGTTTTTACACAGGTAGTTCAAGTCAAAATAAATGTATGCATGCAATGGTAAAGTAGTTACCTAATAAATTAGGTAACAATGTACTGAGTTCAACTCACATCATAGAAACAAGAGACAAGCAAAATTACAGATTATAAAATTTAAAAAAGGAGGTGAAGTTAAAGACAAAGAATACGTAATCAGATGAAAGAGAGAATAAAGACATCCAGTTAGTAACGTTGGAAAGGAAAGACTAATAACTGCTTCTTTCTAAACACATAAATCTGATCTGAAGGGTTTTATAGAAATTGCTTCGGCAAACTTGAGGAGAATGGAGCTCCTTTGTCGATTGATAATTTTAAAGCATTTCTCGATTTCCACCTCATGACCCGTGTCGAGGAGATTACATAATCTTTGTCTTTAACCTCACCCCTCCTTTTTATAATCTGCAATTTTGCTTGTCTCTTGTTTCTATGATGTGAGTTGAACTCAGTACATTGTTACCTAATTTATTAGGTAACTACTTTACCATTGCATGCATACATTTATTTTGACTTGAACTACCTGTGTAAAAACTATGTAGGCGCAATTTTCTGAGCACTGTTCACTTATTGTGGAACTTTCTGTCAACTGACATCATGAAAGCAAAATTTGCAAGTATGTTAAAACTTTTCTGTACGTAAACCTCATAATTTATTTAGGCTATAAGCGAGCAGCTGAGTTGATGAGAAGCCAACGAAATAAGCAATGATGGTGGCATCTTCTTATTCTGCAAAAACCACCACTGTTGTTCTTGCTTTATTCAAATTCATCAAGGGGAATAAATGTATGATGTTTCTTAATTGCATAATACTTTCTTCCCCCACCCCTTATTACCATTGTTGTTAACTTGAATTTTGTTCAATTTTAATTTTAGTTGAGCTCTATCCAACCCCATCAATTATATTACGTGACTCAAATTGCTTATTTAATCTTATTTTAGAAAGAGACAGTGATGAAACTTGCACTACCTCGGTGATTATGTCTGACATAATGAAATTATAAAATTGTAACTATGTCATATATATTCACCTCTCCTATTCTGTTTAAGATGTTTTTTTTCTCGTTTTATTTGAAAGTCACTCACTTTACTCAATCCTTTACTACTTTACTCTAACGTTGTCAATAATGCTAGCCTTCACGACTTAGACGTAGAGGCTTACACATATCCAACCAACTACAGTTCATATCAAGGATTGATCGATCACAAACTCAATTCAGTTACAGAACCATTGACAACCCTGGGACTACTGAACGGCTGCTAGTTACTCTGTTCTGGTTTGGGACTCTTCAGCATTACGCATATGTTACCCTGTATCATACTTACTTACTTTACTTTACTTCGGCTATCTCCTACGGGAGGATGAGCCGGCTTCATGAACGTCTCGAATCATCGCTGCCTAGGCGCGGCAATTTGTAAGAGAGTTCATGAAGTTTCATGGGAATTTGGTACGAGTGATGTCCCCAGCATCGCTCGGCCTTTTGTTTGAGAGTGCAGCTCTAGCCTTTACACAACCAAGTGTGACCTACAAGGCAGTAGGAGTGGAGTAAGGAGTCCACTATCCATTGGCAGCCGATGACCGGAGTTCGGTTCATACGCCTTTTTGAATGGGGCCAGACATCCAGGAAAACCAACAAGCCCTTTGTCCATACGTCTGCCGGTGAGCTCCAGTGAGCTTCATACGACAATCGTTGGAGGTTTGGAATCAGGGTTTAGCCATCTCCCCTAGACTGTCATCCAATGGACAGTCAACCCGGTGGAGAGCGCCACGCATCCGCTTTCGCCCTCTGTATCATAGCTTGAACCCACGACCTTCATGTCACAAGGTAAACTTGTTGGCTATCTACAGCCAATAAGGATGGAATCCAATGACCCATCTATTCTAACCTCTATTTATTATTATTATTATTACTGTTTCTTTAGGTTCCGAGCTGAACATAGGGCTTCAACAACACATCTCCACTTTCTTCTATTTTCTACCATCCTCTTCATCTAGGTCCACGATTGACTATAATCTCTCATCTCCACCATGTTACCCTCACACCGACGACCCACTCTTCGCTTCATATTTGGATTCCACTGGAGCACTGGCCTGCTGCGAGATGTTACTCGACGGCCTCTTCAATGTATGCCCAATCAATTCATTTCCATTTTCTCCTACATATTTGTTGAGCAATCGTCTCTTTGCTCTGTTGGGTTTGTTCCCACAGTTTCTTCTTCCTTATTCTTTCTGGCCATTTGATCTTTTAACCTCCACCAACTCACAAAATATAGCACCACCAACAGCTGCCAATACTCCTGAAGAGACTATATGTCCCCATCACAACCAACTTAGTGGACTCCATTGGTCACGACTCCCTCCCCCACCCCAGTAGAAAGTCAGCCAACTAATTTCATCCTGTAATCACAGTCATTAGGTGAGCACTAGATTACTTTTCTAGTGTTGATTTTCAAGGATTTGACTGACTTCACAATTGGACCGGGGGCTCCCGGATTTTCAATGGTTCTTTAACTAAACTGTGAATTCATCATTACTCCTAAAATTAATCTGTAAACCATCAACACTTCAAAACTATGCATTTGTATTTTTATTTTATTCGTTGACGAGTACTTATTTCTAATAAAACTGGTTGATGTCTTTCTATAGCCATGGTAACCATTTTTCTTCTTTTATAGTTTATAAGCTATCTCTTCAGTTTCGCATGATTTCATTTTCAGATTCGACAATTAATGAAGTGAAAGGACAAGATATGTGAATATTCTTCGATTCGAACCATATTATATATATATATATATATATATATATATATATATATATATATATATATTACTAAACGATTAAGTTGAATGAATTAACATCCAATAAATAAGTAAATAAACATTGTTTCTGTTATGTTGCTGCTGCTGAGTGGTTAATAGTAGTTTTCCCCGTCGCCAAATTGTTATGTACTCGTCACCAAATTATTGCTATGTACTGGTCGAGAATTTAATAGTCCTGACGCAAGAAAGACGGAAATCAGAAGACCACTAGGTTTGCGATGATACTTCTATTTTCCAAAACACAAGGAGAAGCAATAAGTGGTATCACACCAAAGGAGTCACACAAGATTGTGAGAGCGAAATATATATGAATGTCCAGACAAGTGTGTGAACAAATCAATAGACAGTCTTAACATGAATGGCTAATTATAATGGAGTATCGATCCATATATACATAGCAAAATATAGCAGACATGTCAACAACCACACATATAATATGGATATATGTCACCAAGCAACGGACTGTCAACAAACACTCATATTATATATAATATAAGGGGAATATACATTGTTAAAGTAGACAGGTTCATCAAAGTGAAATGGTCACAGACGAAGAGAGCAAACAGAAAGAGAGACCACCATACATATATATATATATATATATATATATATATATATATATATATATGGATACATATCAGTTTCCACGATTGGTAGAATTGTAGTGTGTGCTATTGATAGGATACCTCAATCTCTGCGCCATGAGATAATACAAGAATGTCACCAGCTAGCGCATAACGAAGTTAAGGATTTATGCCATTGGCTGACAGTTGAGAGCTACATATACTGCAAGGATTGGTTACAGTGCCTGAATGGTCTACAAGCTCGCCTATCCGGAAGATCTTGCGTTCAAACGGTTCTGGTGGGTGCGTACTTCTAAAGAATGCCAAACCAGGACGAACGCAACTATCTAGTACTCTTCCATGTGGTTTTCCAATGGTGCCTTAACTGATATCAACTCGTCACCATGCCTGTTGCAGTAGAATGCTTCAATCAATGAGCCACACATCTTCACAGGGTAAAAATATATTACTCATACATATTATAGTATATTTATCTTAAAGATTTTATGAGTACATTTCTACTTACCTGAATTGTTAGAAGAATAATTCAATGGTAATAAATAACTATGTTCATTTAATTCCACAGAAGTTAAATCGAATGTTAAAAATTTGGCCAAAGCAAAACAAAAACGCTGAAAGGATTCCGATGAATGAACAAAAGTACGAATATCCTCTGGATCTTTAATGAGTACAGAAGAAGAGGAAAAAAAGAGAAACATAAAACATTAGATGAAAAGGTGTCTTCTTTTTTTTCTTTTTCTTTCACGTTCACCAGTGGAACATAGGACTTCAAGCTAGTGGCTTGAAGTTTCTGTAGCAGTGTGGATTATTCTACAGGATGGGGTTGCTAGCCTCATGCTCAACCTTTCCTCCTTACCAGCATTTCTCGATCAGCGAGGTTAAGGAGTGCGTCAGCCGGGGATCGAACCCCGGACCATGTGCATGGTCGGCGGGCGTCCTAACCGCTATACCACCGACGCACTGAATGATAAAAGAAAAGTGTAATATTCTTCAGAACCAAAAGTAAAATCACTTTCAAGATTTTATCATGAAATGACATTATTAGTTGGATGGAGAACCATTGGAAAACTACCAAGGATTACTGCACAGACAGCTGTTTCCTACTAATTTGGCATTCTTTATCAGGACGCGCACCGACTGAGGTCCGAAACCAGTACCTTCTGGTTACAAGGCTAGCGAGATCGTAGACCATTAAACCACTGGGATCTGATCCAATGGCCAGTTCATGAATTCCAACTTCTGCCAATTTATGATATGAAGCGACCACTAGCGAATGTAATTGCTGGTGAGAGTATTTGTCCTCAGACACAACCGCCCGCTGTATCCCACTGGTCACGACTTCCCACTAGAACCCAGGCAACTAACTACCTGCCTATCAACCTGGGTCAGTCACTAGTGAGCATCCCATTCATATTCAAGCGTCAGTTTCCAGGGATTTGATTCGATTGCTTTCCGGATTTCATCATGTACTGAGATAGGTTATAGAACTAGTGACTGGTCACATTCAGATAGGTAATTAGTTACCTGGGTTCCAGTGGGAAGTTGTGACCAGTGGGGTACAGCAGGTGGTTGGGTGTGAGGCCAGTGATGACATTGGCTACTGGTGGTGTCATGTCATGAATTGGCAGATGTTGGAATTCATGTGCTGGTCACTGGATCGGGTCCCAATGGATTAATGGTCTACGAGCTTGCTAGCCTTGTAACCAGAAGGTATTGGGTTGGAACCCCTGCGGTGGGTGGCTACTACTGATGAAGAGTCTCAAACTAGGTTGACGAAACAGTTAGGTGGCTGTCCAGTACTCCCTGGTGGTTTTCCAATGGTTTTCTAACCGATGTCAGTTCGTGATGAAATCCTTTTGATTATCATACATCTTCTCTAAAACTAGGATCAATCCTTTTAGTTAGGTGCTATCTAATCAATAACGAGAAAACTGATAGACAGATCATAAATGTGAATTTATAAATCGTCATTAACCTGACTACTTCCTCTCTTTTTTGAAGTTAGTTTTATTGTTGTATTTCGTCAACAATCACTACTAATCCTGGTAACAGTCAACAGACCCTTCTTAAGAAGCTAAGAACCAAAGGCTGGAGACTTCATGACATAACTCGAAATTTAGATGCGTAAAATTGGCATTACTCCCTCGCTCGTTGGCTCACCCGCATATTTCTCTCCATTGTAGTTCCTTTAGATAGTTTTCCTTTCCATAAGTTTGTGTGCTTGTATGAAATGTCGCAAATTGAATAGTTACATTGGAAGTTGTCAGCTGGTTAATATATATATATATATATATATATATATATATATAGCTGAACAATTTCCAATTATCTAAATATTTTAATATGCCTACTATTCCATCTTAGAGCGTGTTGACCGCACCCCACTTATTTCGGGGGAAGTTGCATCAACCAACGCAAGAGTGGTTCATCTCTGACAAAATCTCAGCATGGATACAGAAGGCTCGTTCGGCGTACGCCAACATACGCCATCTTTGGCTTAATAGACGTGATGTCCGGCTGTCGATTATATAGGGCGTGTTTGCTGCTCAGAAAGTTCCCTCTGTCCTCCTTTATGGCTGTCGGTGAGACACTGCTATTGAGACTGGAAGATATGAAAAACATGGCTAGCTAGTTATTCTTGATCATATGTTGTGGATTTTATTGACTGATGAAGTCATGTTTTGGTTTGACCACCACAAGCTAACTTTTTTTCAACCCCATCCATCCTATGTCAGTGAAGTAACAATGCCCGTCATTAAGGAAGGCGACGACTAAACATACGTGACACATATCCTAACCAACCCAGTCGGTTTAACTTCACAACCTCGTCGACTGATTTCCCCTCCTTTCATAACACTCAATCGATGCCTAACTTCAATATTGCTCACCCAACTATACCAATTAAAACGGGAGATAGAACTCAGGCAACTATGATCAGAGATAGCTAGCCAGCTAGGCTTTTCTAATATCTTCTACTTTCAATGACAATATCTCACCGATAGTCATAAAGGAGGACAGAGCGAACTGCTGAGAAGTACACACACTCTTTGGCCGATAACCAGCCGGATATCACGTTTAGCAAGCCAGAGATGGCTGAGATTGCGTCAGCGATCAACCCGCCGGCGTTAACTGATGCAACTTCCCGAATAATTGCATTAAAAGTGCTCTCTAATGAAATAGATAATTTTTTTAAAAAAATGATATTATCAACATAATTTTCAACTAGTGATACATTCCAGCTTATGTGTAATACAATAACATCTAAATCATCTAAATGAGATACAAATACCCCCGAAAGCACAAAGAATAATATAACCTACTGACCATCCTAATTTACAACCATATAAACAGAGAAAGATTCAACACTTACCAAGCACATTTAAATGCCCAAGGATTGTTCTACATCGTTTTTGCAACTGTGATTCATCTGAAAAATAATCAAATTACATGTATGAAGATGTGAGTAATTGAAGGTTAACAAAAAATTCTTTCATAATCTAAGCTAAATATTAAATATATATGACCTAGACTTGATGGTTAGTATATTCACGACTAAAGATGCCCATCAGTGTACTCAAACATAAGCAGTTTGACACCACTACAGATATCAAATTATGATGTCAGGATAGCATGAGCATAACTCACTCTATTTATAAATGTCAACAACTGTCTGTCTATTTTCGACATAGAACTTTGCACAGATGTGCACCAGTTGAAGTCTCCACATTACCTCCTTGTACCACACAAAGCAAGAGAAGAAAGTAGAAGAGATGCATAATAGACAGTAAACAGAGGTGCGAGACAAAGGATTAGTAATAACAAAGAACAATATAGTTTCCTTGGAAATCATAAGTCACAAGGAGTGGATGCATATTCACCAGCCATCACTGAGAACGATTTTAAGCCATATCAACAATTGTTTCTAGCCAGTGATTGGTGTTTACCGTCTCGAGGACCCCAACCGGTCAGGAAGTCTATACCTTCTTGCGTCACTGGCTTAAACTAACTGTTGTTGATTTCATTGACTGGTGAGGCCATGTTTTGGTTTGACCACCACTGGCTCTTTTTCAACCTGACACTATGTCAGCTAACATTGCCCGTCGGTCGAGGAAAGCGATGACTGGGCATACGTAACACATGTCTCAGTCGATGTAATTTCACAGCCTCATCGATTGATTTCCCCTCCCACCTACCTAGCACTCGACTCATACCTAACTTCAATATTGCTCACCTTATTATACCATTTCACTCGGGAAATACAGCACAGGCACTTATGATCAAAGACAGCTAGACAGTCTTTTCATGTCTTCCAGGTCTCAGTCACAGCCATAAAGGAGGACAGAGCGAACTGCTGAGAATCACACACACCCTTTACTCGATAACTAGCCGGATATCACGTCTACTAAGCCAGAGACTGCGTAAAATGGCATATAAGGAACTAGCTCTCTGTATCCGTGCTGAGATTTCGTCAGAGATCAACCCGTTGGCACTGGCTGATGGTACTTCCCAAATAAGTGGAGCGGCCAACGTGCTCTACCACTTCACTCCTTATTTCCAAACTAGGAGTCAGTGTAGTCCAGTTCAGTCCTGTAACATCATCTTACATTTCACAGCAGGAGCGAATCACGTGTCAAAAACTAAATGCTAGTATGGACAGGGATTATGTCTTTGCAAAACAAGTGCCTCTCGTGGCCTGATGATGAATAACACAGTAGAGCTTGAAGTGGTCGATGCTGAGTTATGGAGTACATACATCCATCTGCCAAGTCTAAAATACAATGAAATGCGTGTGCTGGATTACACTGCTAGCCACTAACCTAACACAAACACACACACACACACAAACACAGCTATGTGAATTTTACACAAATGAACTTTGAAAAATTTTGTAATTACACAAACGGTTTATGATGAACACGTCAGTTTGAGTTTTCAGACAGTTAAGCAATGCAATTAGAATTTAATTGGTGGATGGTGAATGGCAGTGGAATCCAGGATAACGCGCATTTCGTCTTATTTGAAAGTCGTCATCGGGATGTACCTGCATTCCCCAGTGAGTGATGATGTTCCCCTCGAGACTAGAATCCAGTGCGCATAGTTTCAAACACCAAAGCGTTATCCACTAGACCACTTGAGCTACGAAATGCGCTTTGTCCTGGATTCCACTGCCAGTCACCATCCACCAATTAAATTCTAATTACATGCCCAGACATCGTCGAAGCATCTGCACAAGAAGCCAACAGACATGTTAACCTGAGACCGAGCACTTCGGAACAATCAGTCGACGGTAAAATCTAAAATTCAGTTAAATAGTTAAGCAATGCGTTTAGTATCTTGGATAGAATTAGGTGTAGTGACTCCAAGACGTTGGATTAGAGATTTTACTTCCAAAGAGTGGAAATATCCAACAAAATAACTGTAAAACAGCGTATAGAATACAGCAGAAACATTATTTGAAAGAAAGATTCTCTACATGGAAGCGAAATTATCACAAATGTAGTTATGCATACACTTATTGACCAAGTATTACATAACGGTTTCTCATTTTTAAGTCGCTATAGACTTTTCTTGATATGGTTTTAATTGCGGATTCAAACTTCCCCAAGTTTAACTTTTTTTTTATTTAATAGTTCAGTTGCACTATTCGATGAAAAATGAGTGACTGTGGATCAGTCACATAGGTATATCTGCACCTATTGAATAATTTTCACCACTATGACTGTCAATTAAACAATACATATAATGAGAAATTTTAAAAATTCGGAAATATGACAACTTTAAACATACATTTTAATTGATTAAAAATGTCCATTAAAATCTTTTTCAAAAGAATGGACACTTGATATGTATCCATATATATATATATATATATGGTGGTCTCTCTTTCTGTTTGCTCTCTTCGTCTGTGACCATTTCACTTTGATGAACCTGTCTACTTTAACAATGTATATTCCCCTTATATTATATATAATATGAGTGTTTGTTGACAGTCCGTTGCTTGGTGACATATATCCATATTATATGTGTGGTTGTTGACATGTCTGCTATATTTTGCTATGTATATATGGATCGATACTCCATTATAATTAGCCATTCATGTTAAGACTGTCTATTGATTTGTTCACACACTTGTCTGGACATTCATATATATTTCGCTCTCACAATCTTGTGTGACTACTTTGGTGTGATACCACTTATTGCTTCTCCTGGTGTTTTGGAAAATAGAAGTATCATCGCAAACCTAGTGGTCTTCTGATTTCCGTCTTTCTTGCGTCAGGACTATTAAATTCTCGACCAGTACATAACAATTTGGCGACGAGTACATAACAATTTGGCGACGGGGGAAACTACTATTAACCACTCAGCAGCAGCAACATAACAATACTGAACAAAGAGAACTCTTTTCGATAACTTCATCACCAGGCTCTACAGTTATATATACATTATAGTGAATGAATGAATGAATAAGTGTTATTAACAACATTAATGTTGTGTAAATAACATCGAGTCAATACTAACAGTACTGTCAATGGATTACAGTTCGATGTGCGTCGGTGGTATAGCGGTCAGGACGTTTGCCGACCATGCATATGGTCCGGGTTCGACCCCCGGCCGGCGCACTCCTTTACCTCACTGAGCCAGAAATAATGCTGGTAAAGAGGAAAGGTTGGGCATGAGGCTAGCAACCCCATCCTGTAAAAATCAAACACTGCTACAGAAACTTCAAGCCACTAGCTTGGAGCCCTATGTTCCACTGGGAACGTGAAGGAAAAATTATTATTATTTATTTATTAAATAACATCGAGTCAATACTAACAGTACTGTCAATGGATTACAGTTCGATAGCATTAACATAAGAATACACTGAGTATCAAACAGGCAAATTAGGGAAGATAATAGTAATACAGAATTCATGAATTTGTAGTCTCCACTGAAGGCCGACCAGGGCAGTATTAATAGTGGCTAGCTGTACTTGCTTCTTCTGCACACATAGCACTGGTTGTTTAAGGTGTATCGCGATAGCCTTTGCTGTTTGCAGCATGTGGTACCTGTATGGTTTTGGTAATTTGTTTGGTACCCGGATGATGATAGAGAAGGATTCTTCAATGCTGGCCGGCTTTGTGGCATATTTGGACCAAGTGATCTAATATCCAGCTGTTAATGGTTTTTACTACATATATATAAGGCGGCCTGCTTAAATCATTGGGCTACAAAAATTACTTTCCTCCAAAATGCTTAATTTCATCTGGATTTATCATTGTTTTAATCGTCCAGTTATATCAAATGACCTCTTCATAAAATTGCGCGATGACATAACTTGCTCGCTGTACAATTCTCCAACGAAATGAAGATATACTTCAGAATATCAATTTACATGTGAATCCTGTGTGAAGACAAAAGTACTTTGGAGCTGAATACGCTGAAAATTTTTGTACCGTATATTCGCATACTGTCTTAAATAAAGCTTTACCATTATTATTATTATTATTATTATTATTATTATTATTATTATTATTATTATTATTATTATTATTATGTAGCAACACTGGTAGATGTTCGTGATCGAGCACGAAAAATCAAGTTCCTACAGAAACAGTCAATATTGATACCATATTATTCTGCACAACAACAGACAACAATCAACCACCATAAATGGGATAAATCTGAAAGAAGCAACCCCTTTACCTACCGACCTTTGAAGCATCATTTCAACCACAGGCGGAACTGACGAGGATAACAAAGCAAGAATCGGAAAAGCAGGACAAGCTTTCATTACTCTTAAGTCTGTGTGGAGATCAACAGCACTCAGCATCAAAAATAAGATCCAGATTTTCAACTCCAATGTGAAGCCAGTGCTACCCACTATACGGATCAGAGACTTGGTGTGTCATAAAGAGCATCTCAAACAAACTAGACCTTCATTAACAGTTGTCTTTGATCAATACTCAAGATCAGATGGCCGGCCAGAAAAGATCAGCGACAGGGATCTCTGGCAATGAGCGAACCAACCTAGCAGGAACCGATTGTGAAACAAATAAGCAGGAAGAAATGGAGATGGATTGGAGGCCATACTCTGAAGAAACCAGCAAGTGACATCACTAGACAAGCCATGGCTCGAGTGGAACCCGAAAGGGATCGGTGAGTTGGTCATCAGTGTCTCTCTGTCTGGATTCAACATAGAACTTGGCACCAAAGTGCACCAGTTTAAGTTGCCACGTTCCAAATAGCACACAGAGGTAGACAAGAAGATGAGTGAAGAGAATCAATAGAGTTTGACAAGTATAAGAGTGAAACAGAATGGGTAATGGTAGAAAGGAATATAAAAGATTACAGAGACTGAATACATCTGCGCCAGCCATTGACAACGATTTTGAACCATGTCACCTATTGTCTCCAGCCATTGATTCTTGGAGTCCCGAGAGCCCCAACCCGGGAGTCTGCATCTCCCTACCTGACCGACTCAGTTTAACTGTCAAGGATTTCATGGATTGATGAGGCCATATTTTTGTTTGGCCACCACTTACTCTTTTCCAACCTGCACCTATCTATATCAGCTAGTAATGCCCGTCGGGGGAGGCGATGGTTAGGCATGTGCAGCACGTGACCCAGCCATCTCAATCGATGTAACTTCATAGCCTCGTCGATTGATTTTCTCTCTTTGCCCAACAATCTACGCCTTATGTCAACATTACTTACCTTATTATAGCACCTAACATGAGGTCGTCAATGCAAGGGTGACTTGGAGGAGGTCATGTGAAGAGGAGATGAAAGCGTGTGGACAGACTTGGAGAGAGGTGAAAAAGTTGGCAGAAAACCGAACGCAATGGAGACGCGCGGCTGAAGCCCTATTTTCCTCTAGGAATTGAAGGATATGATAATTATTATTATTCTGCACAAACCACTGTTGTTCTTGTTTTATACAAATTCATAAAGGCGAATAAATGCATGGAGAAAAATTAGAATTCATTTACCCTGAGCATAGTTTCCATACAACCAGCTTTCAGCTACACTCATAGTTATACTAGCCAGTGTAGAGTGGAATGTAAAAACCCGAGATCCACCGGTCAAATGCACCTAGACTAGCCACTAGCCATCTACCCATTCAACTGGGTTCGTGGTGGAACGAGTTATATTCACTGTTGCTTTAGGAACTTGATTTTTCGTGCTCACTCGAGAACATCTCCCAGTATGGTTAAGTAAGTGTGTAGTAAAATCCATCAACAGTTCGATATTAGACCAACTGGTCAAAACCGGCCACAAAACCAGTCAACATTGAAGAATCCTTCTCTATTATCTACCGGGTACCAAATAAATTGCTACGAACATCCAGGTAATGCATGCTCCAAACAGTAGGGACTATCGCAGTTCGCGTGAAACAACCAGTGCTTTGTGTGCAGAAGAAGCAAGTCCAGTCGCTACCACTGTCCTGCCCTTCAGTAGAGACTATAAATTCATGAATTCGTATTATTATCATCTTTCCTAATTTTTCTGACACTCAGTATGTATTGTTATATTGATGCTATCGAACTGTAATTTATTGATATTACTATTAGTATTGGCTTGATGTTATTTACACAACATTAATATTGTTCATAACACTAATTCATCCATTCACTATAATGTATATATAAATGTAGAACCTGATGATGAAGTGATCGAAAAGAATATTCCTGGTTAAGTAACCATTCATTTAAAAACATAACATTTTATAAAATGACATTTTTTGCTCTTACTGAAAAAGATCTAATTGACCTACCTAATAGGCTAAATAATTGATTCATAAGACAATTAGTCTGTTCTGTCAGAGAATCAAAGGCAACTTTTCTTATTAATTTATGACCAAAAAGGTTTGAAAGTGATTTTCGATCCATAATTGAGTTTGTATTCACATTGCTGAGTGTAGTATATTCGCTTAAAATCTTTTGAGCTAGAAAGCTACCATCTTGTTTGGAATTCTCATTTGTAACTGATACACTTGACGACGATTGTGAAGCTAATGTAAGCAGGCCAGAAACTACAGTATATCTCAAATGCTGACTGTCTTCAAGATTTATAAGTCGATGACATTTCAGTAATAATACACCTAACCAATGAGCAAAAGCAGTAGACAATCGAATATTTTTGTTAACATCTAACTCCAAATGAACATGGATGATGCTATCAATAGTTTTAGAAACTAGAGCATTTAAGTGCAATACAGTTGTTTTAATCCATTCCGATGTAGTAACGAGTTCTGGTTTGTTGATATAATTCCCTACAAATTCAAATAAAATATTTGAGATTAGTTATATACACCAACATATAAACAAGTTACAAATAACTCGAGAGAATGTTAAAATGAATTAACAATGAAGACAATAAGTTAAACGATGTTATATACCCACAAGACATGTTTACAGTAAAGGACTAAGTATAACAGCGTATTTACTCGCAGTAGCATACCCCATATCGATAAGAAAGTGAAGGCAGTTAAAGCGGTGCAATCGAAAATAAGAAGACTTATGGAATAATAGGGAAATGGGAGTAAAACAAGCAATCAAAGGCAGTTCTACAATTATACTAAGATAAACTATGCGGGGAGGGGGGAGGAAACTTCGCCATGGTGACCGACTTCCAGGTTTGTCAGTCAGAAACTCAGAGCAAACATTTCATTTACCAAGCAGATCCTCGTTAGACGACCTTCACCTCTGTACGTAGTAGATATGGCATAGTGAGAAAACCAATACCAAGTCTTGGTTTAGTTACTTATAACTTTTACAAATTAATCAAGTCCACACTAACACTGCATAATCAAGACGAGGAGGCATATGTAACACATATTACGGCTAAATCAGGTGACTGAGATAAACAACTGATAAGTCTTTCATGAAACTCTATGATTAACTACTATAAGAAAGGTCATCTAACCAAGTGCGTGACCATATCAGTTGTCACCATGATGCAGCATAGTACAGCAATGCAATGATCAGTAAATAACTCTTTGAAGGCATCTGAATATCATTGCCATGAAGTCAGGCTAAGCAAATTTATTACCGTAAATGTGTCACTAAAAGATTATCTAGAAACACTTCGAAGATCTCATTATCTAAGTACTTTGAAGATGGCAAAACCGTATAGCATAAAAAGATCTGCTAAAAGTGCCAGTGTTCCTTTAGAGGCACTTATCTGCTTTAGAACAGAAAAAAAGTCTTAAATAATAACAACTAAGCTAAATTTGAGTAATCGAATCTCATTATCAATAGGCTAGTAAGTTCAGTGAAACTCCCGACACATGTTCATGAAATTCCACCTCCAGGTACAAATATTTTGTGTTACTCAAACTGAAGACCGTTAACTATTGTGCATCAAGTAAAAATTAAAACTGAATAATGTGCTGCCAAAACTTACTTTCTTGTCCATGAGTACATTCTTGAAAGACCGAAGTCAGGATGGAAGACCATGCATTGAAAGCCGCCTGAATGAGCTCATATGTGATAAATAATAATTTAAATACCTCTCGAATACGGGAACTTCTCTTGTCATCGGTTGTTATGATTCTAAAGAATGTTGTAGAAAATCCCGGTAGAAAACTTCTTATTGAATCGGTGAGACTACCTAATGAGCTTTCAACGCCCTCATCACAAAACTTAGTCACTGAAAGTGTTAATAATGACAAAGTGTGGAGGGCGTTGTAACATACTTCACGATTTTTGGAGTGCTCACCGAAATTCAACAGGAAGGAGCATATGTGGCTAACTACCGGCAAGTTTCCAGGTAAAAACACAGTTTTCAGTTCACTACTCAATAGAGAATTCAATCAAATAACTTGCTTTAGTTTCATAGATGTGAAGAACGAACTCAATGACGAAATAATAGCCAGACAACACTCATCTGACATCACAATATCCATTTCCCGACCAGAATTCTCAGTTGACATTGAAAACAAAACACAACTGAGGTCGTCTACATACTCCCCAAGAGTTTTTGACCTATCAAGATCCGCTGAAAGATTGAAAAGCAGGCTATACAAATTGTATGCGGATTCAATTTCATCGCATTTCAAAGTCCTGAAAGAGATGAATTTTACTAGCTATGTACGCACGTTTTTGGCAGGAGGGTGTGAAGACAGCTATGAACCTCATCAAAAACCATATGCACATCACTTCTGCTACTTTTTTCAAGAATGCTACGCAGGGATTCCAACAGACCACATGGATACTCAGTTGCCATTTACCACACTTTTCAAATTGTTACATCTAGGTGACCTAAGAAGGACAACATTCAAACACGGCAGCTGTGAGGTATTCAGTGTCATTTTTTAAAGCTGATGTAAGCCAAATTGACTTTCTTCTGCTCTTCTCTTGGTTACAATTTATAATATTTTACTCTTCAGTTGACGTGTTAATAGCTTTTCCTGACATTCAACTTCGTAGCTAGTGCTGAATCAAGGAGGAGTCATGAGGAAATTGTATATATATAGTTTGCAGGAAGCGGTAAGTTAAGACCGAGCGCTGCTTCGACTGGAGCTGGTACTTTCAGTTTTTAGTCGTCCGGTGTACCAATAATAGAGCTAATAACAATAAGTTATTACAGGTAATGGTAAATATTATAAAAGTCGATTATTTGGGCTTGAAAAGAAAGATGTGCAAACAGGTGGGCAGTGAAATTTAATTCATTAGCGATCAGTAAACAGAAGTAGTTAAAGCAATAACAAAATAATTGAATGAATAGGTGGAATAGTGAGAAGAGCGAAACAAGGGGAATGGGCAGTGGTAAAGCGAGCGTTTAGAAAGATACCCATCATTTGTGCATGGATTTTATAAGGGTAGGCCAGTTGAATGTAGTTCCTTGTCGCTGTATTGTCGTTCGGCCTCCATTTAAGGCTAAAAATGGGAGGTACGGTAGTTACAGCTGCTGGCAAGGACCTTTAAGGGCGATAGACTACAAAAGAAAAGACGTATGAGCACACTCGAATAATTGCCCTCAGATGCTCTGTCCTTGGTGGATTGCCACGATGAAGCCCATGCTTGCACAATGACGGATTGTCTATGTTTAAGTAATTCTGGTCCTTCATAATCCTGCAGGCAATAATTAGGTAATCGCCAAGTCAATGGTAGTTGAGTGCCAAAAAACTTAATTTCTTTGGCACTCGTCGTATGGTTAATCCTCGAGATCGATCGTCCCGTCTTTGGACCCTTTCCAGAAGATTGCCGTCCATTCTGAGTGGCAGGGAAAGGACTTCATTTTTCTATTCAAGGCGCAGTCTTACGTATTTCTTTAAAGACCTACATCAAACTCATGAGTGAACGAATCTAATTGTCAATGCGTGGAGTGTGTAGCCACGTGTATCCACTGTACGTCACCTACGTGATTCACGGTCATGACCATCTTTCAGTGACTACTAGACCTAAGTTATGCTAAGGCGCTACACAGACACAAGTTTTAGTCACTCATGGAACATACAGGCACTTAGTTCCACAAATCGGTTTGAAAGACAAACCACTGAACAGTGTCCAGTCTTCCAATACTTTCAGGTCTTCCTGCAGCCCATGTGACTCCCCAGAGCAATTTATCACTCTCCAAATCTTCAAGTCATCTGCGTGAAGAACGGCCGGCCAGTTAAGACGCCATGGCAGGTAACTGATAGAAATCTGGAACACCATTCGCCTCGTGAGAATCCTGATACAAAACTGTGGCATTATGACAGGACATCATTGACTCTTTTGCAGGACCTCTTGCTTCTCACTAGTTTCGCCACTACGAGGGAAGTGGTCCACCAATACCTACCCGGATTGTTTCCCAAGAGGTTGGTCATATTTTCGGGTCAGGGAAGATCACACCGAATGAAACATTCATATCACAGTATGACGTTGCCTCATTCCAAGCTGATAAGAGATTTGTCACACAGGATCTGCCTGTTCCAATATCTCGTTTTTCATGGAGTATATCAGTCGTATCAAGATATCGCCTGATTTGATCATCAAAATGACCTTCCAGCACTATCAATTCCACTAGAACTAGTGAGGCTGTTATGTAACTCGTTGCATTTTACTGATGCACATCCTTGAAGTTAGGAGGAAGCATGGCTACCTTCCACTCCTCTGGCATTTTCCCAAGTTCGTGGAGTGTTGGAACAGGTCAAATAAGGGTGCGAAGAGATGTTCTGGGGTGCTTCAGAAAAGAAGCTAGACGGTCTTGTTTTAGGACGGCCGGTTGACTGTCGGCGAAATCTGAGAATATCTCAAAAATGAATTCTCGCAGTTTACTGCGAATTCCTTAGCATCACTGCAGGTTTAATTTGGGGTGTAACTAGGTGTATTTGGATCCGTTTGAACTGGCCTTGCTCCGATTTTCTATGCCTTCAGTTGCTTCTAGGATACATCTCAGGTAGCTCTTTCACCACTCTACAGATGTGCCTTATTTCGGCCTTGAACGGGCATACTTTATACAATCTCAGCCTCACTTGCTAGCTTCCGTTAAACGTTTGGTTTCTTTACTCATATTTGTCAGAAGTCTACATCAAGCTGAGCTTAAGGATACTGAAGAAAACAAAAACTCATTTTCTATTGAAGATCGTAAGGCAATCGAGTTTGTTACTCAAAGCACCGTCGTAGAAAAGGCGCATTACATCATTCCCTTGCCATGGGAAGATCCGACAAAGGTAACGGACAATAATTATGTAGTCGCCATAAAGCCGTTACTCAATCTGAAACAGAGGTTATCGTGTGACAAGAACCTTTTAGCACGATATGTGGATGGGATAAATACGATGTTAAAAAATGGTTATGCCCTTCCGGTACCCCCAAAGCAGCTAGCAGCGAACTATCGTTCGAGGCGGTATCTTCCACATCATCCCGTTATGAAAACAAAAAAGCCAGATAAACTGAGAAGAGTTATAGATTGCGCCGCAACCTTTAGAGGTTATTCTTTGAACGATAAGCTATATCAAGAACCTGATACGATTTCCGAGCTTGTTGGTGTTCAGTTGCGCTTTCGAGGAAAGCCTATTGGTGTAGTCGCGGACATAGCTGATATGCTTATGCAAGTGAAGGTGCCAGTAGACGATCGAGGAGCATTACGATTTCTGTGGTGGCAAGATGGTTGGCTAGGCGTTGGCCGCGAGGAGTTATTGCGGGATGCGAGCAATCCGCGGACGGACTTGTCAGAACAGTTACAATAAGAACGAGAAACGGCGAGGTGAAGCGCGATATAAGTAAGATATGCCTACTAGAGGGAAGTCATTTGTAAGAGAGCCAGGCACGAGGGTTATTCTGTATAACATGATTCATAAAATCCTAGTCGGATTTTGGGGGCCGGTGTAAGATCAATTCTATTCCCATCCTTGAATCAAGTCAACCTGTCCCAGATCAGCCTAGCGTTGTTGCAACCCAATTATCCATGCCTAACGTGTCTATCCCTGCTTGTTTAATGAACTGTGTGTATGTGTTTTTACCTCGATCTGTTTAGTCAGACGGTTGAACTCATGGCCCAATCAGAGTATTTTGTGAACTGTTATTTTTGCTGACCCATGTCTAACTTTGTACTATTCTGTCGAGTTTATCTTATTTATTGATTTTCATCTGTATTTTCCTACCTGGTTAAGTAGCCAATTAAATTCTATCTTTGTGCTTATGCTCGGTCTATCTCTCTTAAACGCTCTCTGTTTTATGCTATGCCTTACTTGGGTTCATTCTTCTACTGACTGCTTACCTGAACGGTCGTGTCTGGTTCCGGCTAGTTCGCAATTTTGACTTTAACGTTATTCCGCTCTGATAGCGGTACCTTGCTTTCTGTTAAGCGTTGTGCTTTGTACTCTTGAAACCGTTAAGGTTTGTTGTATATATAATTATTGATTTGTTTATTAATAGTACCGTAGAAACAGTGACCGGCTTCTTGTTTGTTCTGGACCGGGATAGCCTTTATCTACGCGTGACTTAATTTCAAGCGATATTGCGCTTACAATAATAAATAAATTGTGTCGCAACGAATCGTGCCGATATCTGGTTTTGTAATGATCTAGTTTCCTTGGCCGTAATGATGTTCCGATTAGAAAACAAAATTAAATCTTTTCGTTTTAGTAGCAAGCTTAATTGTTAACAACTTGTCTTACACTGTCAAATCACTACTTGTGAGCCAGAGACTCCCTCGATTCTTTCAAAAATCCAGCGCATTAAAAACAACTGCGGGGTAAGTTCGGTAACGAACAACCTATGATAACGAAAAGGAACGGACCGAAAGTTATGTCTTGGGTATTCCTTTATATGCGCAAAAGTTCAGTGGGCTCCCTATGGACATTTATTCACTTTCCCACATCACTCAAACTTTCTGCAGGACAAATACCTCTATCACTGAATTCCACTTAAATATATAAGACTGAAAGCTGCTTAGAAAGCAAGTGCAATGAAATATTTTCGGAATTCATTCAGTACAAAGATAAAAATAAGCAATATTTTATCATGGTAAATCCAAGTAATAATTTCAGTTTATAAACACTTTTCACACACATACAGCTAGGGCAGCGCGATTACGTGGCGTATCCTTTTTCGAAGTGGTGCGACCTGCCTTGTCTTGCGGGTTTTTGCGTGGTCCATTTAATTTGAGTCAGGGCTAGTCTGATCGTTCAGTCTTCAAATACACTGATACTCCTCGGCAAAATACGGATCAATCCCTTTTTTCCATCACGACCAATACACGTTGACTTGGATGCCAGCGCGAGAACCTGGGCCACACGGACAAAGCTGAAATGGAAAACAAACGACAAAGCCAACACCGCAGGCACACCCACAACACAATCTCATTCATCGATGACGACCCACCCCTTCCAGTTAAAGGCATCCTCCTGACATCTTGCAACACAATCGACACTTTCTAGAATCACTCTTGCAGAAGGCACCTCACGATGCTCTTCGCACATCCTCTTATATATTTTCTACCAATTACCACTGCAATCGCTTGTCACTCATTCTGCCTCAGTTCTAATAACAGTGACGTATGCAAGCCTCAGTCGTCTAAATTCTCGCTCTTCGGCGTGTGGGACCACAGCCTAAATACAAACACTCATTCTCAATCATCCATTTCACAGCTAGTCATTATCTCCATGTGCATGTCATTCTCAGCACTAGCCTCCTTGGCGTTTACGACCCATCTGCTCTCTTTAACATCAATCAATTCATCCACGGATGTAGAAGACTAGAAACAACTTCAGAAGTAATCACGATGAAAATTTTAAC